GCTATTTGTATATATTTTTGGAAGTATCTGTTCAAAACTTTTAGACATATATTACTGTACTGTCTTGTTAAGAAAGGGTTCCATATATTATTTTCCATTACCTTTTATCCCCTATGTACACTCTTCCACCTCTGCGCACCCACCCCACCCCACCCCCCACAATCACAACACTGTTGCCCATGTCCGTGAGTTCTTTCATATTTTTAAATAAGAGCTTTGTAAGATATGTATTGTCAAGTATTTTTTCGCAGTCTGTTTTTACTTCTTAAAAGTGTTTTTAAAATAATTTTTAAAAAATGTTGTAGTCTATTTTACTAGTTCTTACTTTGCTTTTTTGTCTTATCTAAAAAATCTTTGCCCTGGCCGGTTTGGCTCAGCAGTTAGAGAGTCAGCCTGTGGACCAGAGTTCTGGGTTCGGTCCCCACTAAGGGCACGTACATCATCAGTTGTGGTTTGTCCCCACCCAGGGTGGGGCAGTGTGGGTGGCAACCACTCGATGTGTCTCTCTCATGTCGATGTTTCTCTCTCTTCCTTTCTCTCTCCCTCCCACTCTATCTGAAGATAAATGCAAAAATGTCGAGTGAGGATACAAAAAATGAATAAAAATATAAATCAATAAAAAATCTTGTCTACCCCAAAGTCATGGAAATGTTCTTCCTTTATTTCTGTAAGTTTTAGAGTTTTTCCTTTGATTTTCAGGTTGATAATCCATTTTTTACTCATCTAATTTTTTTTTTTTATCCTCACCCAAGGACATTTTTGCATTCATCTTCAGATAGAGCAGGAGGGAGAGAGGAAGGAAGAGAGAAACATTGACATGAGAGAGACACATCGACTGGTTGCCACCCACATGACCCCAACTGGGGCCGAGGACAAACCGCAACCGAGGCATGTGCCCTGAGCAGGAACCGAACACTCATCTCTCTGGTCCATGAGCCGTTGGATGCTCTAACCGCTAAGCCAAACCAGCCAGGGCTATCCATCTAATTTTTATGTATGATGTGAAGCAAAGACTGAGGTTTATTTTTCTCTATAAATATATCCATTTGTTCTAAAAAGGCCATCCTTTACCTATTGAATTGTCTTGGCACTTACCAAATATCAATGAGCCATATAAGTATGAATCTGTTTCTGGTATCTAGTCTGTTCACTGGTCTATGTCTATCTCTATCTCAATACCACATCTTGATTACTTTAGATTTAAACAGCAAAAAGCTTTATATAAATAGTGTAAGCTGTCAATTTTTTTTCCCTCAAATTGTTTTGACTATTCTGGCTCATTTGCATTTACAGATAAATTTTGTTTACAAAAAAGACTGCTAGAATTTTTAGTTGGATTGTATTATACATAAACTTAGGAATAATTAACATTTATAAACGTGAGTCTTCCAATTTACAATTATGGTATATCTCCACACACTTAGATTTTCTTTCATTTCTTACCAGTTTCTGTGGTTTTCATTGGACAAGTCTTGCACAAATTTTGTTACATTTGTCCCTAATTATTTCATGTTTTATAATTCTACTGTAAATGATAGCTTTTACATTTCAATTACTAATTATATTGTTGCTAGCACACAGAAATAAATCTGAGTTGTGTATATTGACCTCATATCTTACCTTACTCGCTTATTAATTCTAGTATATGTTTTTTAGGATTTGCAATGTTTAATCATGTCTTCTGCAAAGAGTTTAATTTCTTACAATATGTATAACTTTTCTTGCCTTATTTCATAGGTTGGATCTGAATTCAGTACAGTATTAAATAGAAATGGTGACAGCAGATACATCTCTTTGCCTTCCTCAAATCTTAGGAGAAAAACAAACCATTATGTATGATGTTACCTGGAGGTTTTTCAGATTTCTGTCAAGTTAAGGAAGTTCCCTTCTAATTCTGGTTTGCTAAGTTTTTATAATAAATGGGTATTAAATTTTATTGTACACATTTTCTGCACCTATTGAGATGACCATGTCCCGCCACGCCCTGTATTGTTAATTTACATTATTGTTGTCTTTAAATTCTAGTAATTCATATTTAAAAACAATTTTAACTGTGATAAAATAACCATTTTAACCATGCTTAAGTGCACCATTCAGTATCTTTGACTATATTTATTGTGTAACCTATCTCTACAACTCTTCATCTTGCATAACTGACACTCTGCATCCATTAAACAATGCTCTATTTCCCCCTCCCTCTTTTAATTTTTTTTTACAAAAATTTCGGTCTGTGACCAATTGGAAATAAAAAGGTCCTTCACTTCAGAAAGTTTTAAAAGCAATGTTCTAAATCAGTCGGTTTACTTGTAAAAAAAAAAAGAAAGCCTTTTTAACATGTGCTTGGCTTGCAAATTAAGATTTAAAGTCCTACACAAAAAAATCAGTGTCTGGGGAGAACAATATACATCAGTTTCCTAACTGAAGGTTTTCATCACTTCAAACAAGGCAAAAATCAGACTATGTTTTTAAAGCAATTTATTTCACTCAAACAGCAATTTCTCTCTTAAATATGTCAAAGTCTGACCACTGCTTGACCATAAACAAAAGCACAGGTCATTTTCTCCTGTCCCCTCTGATTCCTCTACATTTCAGTCCTGCCTGGAGCAGCATTCTGTTACTCAACCAACATGGAAAAGTATTTTTTTTAATTAAAAAAAAAGTAGCTTTACTAAGAATTTTTAGTTTAATAATCATTGGCTCGCCTTTTGACAATACTCAGTATTAGCATTTCTTCTGTTATTCTACATTGGTTTTGGCTTTGTGGATGGGATTTCATTCATTTTTTTTAAAAAGACTAAACTCTACCATCCAATTTTAGTTCATGAAACCTGTTCTTCTCGAATTGATAGCTTTAAAGTGTGTGGGAATGATACATACATCAGATGTGGACTATCGTATTTTCATCCAACCAAACATCCCTGGAATTTGAGACTATTTGTTTGCAGGAATAAAACTTCTAACACAGAAATATACTGTATAATAGTTTTATTTTTCTCATTTTACTATTTTTACATTTTATGCACAAATATTTTTATCTGAGTAAAAATAGAAAATAACTGTTTTATGTAAAATTACAAAAAAAATAAAAACCACAAAGAAATACATAATTGTTATTATGACAGTATAAGTGTCTTTATTTAAAGAGTAAAAATGTATGCAAAAATTCTCCTCCCTTTTACAAAAAATTGAGAATTTTTTCTTCTGGCAGCAAGTGAAATATCACTGGATATCAATATTTTTACACCCCCTAGATATGAAGACATTAAGTTAGTCACAGGTTGTTTTGCAATTATGAATTTAAAAACATTTTGTGCTGTTTCAAAGATACACTAGTTCTTTTTCAAAGGCAGTAGCATAAAATGATGAATATGGAAAATAGCAGACCTCACCAGAAATATATGGAGGTACAATCCTTTAAAGAAATATCATACTTGAGTTTTACCATTAATCATGGTAGAAAAACAACTAACATTGTTTCCTAATTAATTGACACAGACTGATATAAAATGAATATGATGAGTTGATTCATGTGAAGATCAACCACACAGCAATTCTGTCTAATTTGATTTTCTGATGCCAACACAAATTTCCAAACTTTAGGCTAGCTAGATACCCATGAAAGTGGCTCAGTGAGAACCTTGTGTGGAAAACAAGTTTTAAAACAAAAGTGAACATTTCATTTATTCTTGTACTTAAGGTACAAAAGATGACCAATAATTTTATCTTTCTTCCTTTAACTATATTGTAAATTCTCCTATGGAAAATTCATACATAAAAACAAAGCAAAGAATTAATAGCATGAATTACCTTTTCTTTCATAATCTTTCAATAAGGGAAAATACTATCTGACTTTCTGATACCTATAACCTTAATAAGGACAATGAAAATATTTTATGTAAATTGAGACAAAATAACAAAAATTTCTTGAATCAAGTGAGCAAATTAGTCTCATTACTTTATGTTGTGATGCATAAAATGACAAGAGGCAAAGAAGAAAAAAGAAACAGTTGATCATGTATGAGAACTGTCTCTGTTCAAATTATGAGAAATAAAAACTGCTAAAAAAAAAAATGGAGAATGCGTGTTTTTTGCCTTTTTTTTTTAAGCATCTGAGAAATGCTTAAAGGAGAGAAAAAATAATAGTTTTCTTTTAGGGATCTATAAGAAATGTGGATGTTCTTTGCCTTAAAAAATATACATACCTACGATTGAGACATAAAGGAAGTCTGCCATGCTGGCTAAAATTTCAACGATGTCACCTCAAAAGCACTTTAAAAAGTCAAGTATTTTAAGCTCTTGAAAATATACCAGAATAGTATACTTTATTATTTTTTAAAAACTATAAGTGACTTGTCAACTCCCCAGGCCAGAAGTGGATGGTGGGAAACCTTTTTAGCTATTTTGATCTGAAACTGGAGTGTCTGAATATTATTTCACAATGCTAGTCTACTCCGATATTCTTGTAACCACTGCACCCAATTTATACGAATCATTTGTCAGTCTGTTTTGTATGTGTTTATAAAATGGTAAAAGTGGGAAGTTACAAATTTTATTCTTTTTTACATGTCTACTGCAGGGTCTTCAAGGACTTACTATAATATAAATGGACTGACATTGTACTTTGTAGTCCTGAAGCACAGTACTTTAAATTATGATTTGAGGTTATCAGGAAAGGAGATCGCAGATTCCTCCTCTCCTCCTTGTCCTAAAAGCCCTGTTTCCTGTGGTTCATTCCAAACCACTATTTAGTATATTGATGGCAGCAACTGCAAACAATGCCGCCTTGCCTGTTATTACCACGGTCCTTCCTCCTGTTTAGTCAAAAGCAGTAACTTTTATAAAGCTGTTTAGAGCAATGATTTTAAAATAAATGACGAGGGAGAAGGTGCATAAAGTAATATTTGAGAATCAGTCTTCTGCCATAAGAGGATTAGAAGTTATTTGCCAGTATCTCATATCAAAATTTCTAAATAATACCTTAAAACAAACAACAAAACAAAAAAAGAAAGGAAAGTGAATGAGCAAGCAAGCAAAAAAGATACATATTTCTAGTACTTCCGTTTAGTGTTAGCTTGTGGCAAAGTAGAGTATCCTATATATAAGAATTATTTAATTTTTTTAAGATTTAAAAAAAATGAGTTATTACCTTTTGAAATTATCTTTCCTTTTGAATATTATGTCTTCATATATATGTGTATCTGTATTTATAGGAAATGGTTAAATGGACATGTATATAGATATCTGCATACTCACACATATAAATATTCAAAAGGAAAACATTAAATAAATGGGAATTTTTAAGAGAAGACTGCCTGTACTGGAGGTCAAAATTTCCTTTTTAAACTATTTGTAAGTAATTTACTAATGTCTTGAAAGGTAAAGTACTGCTGACTGATTTAAAGTCTTCATTTCATCAGAAAGCAGTGACTATATAAGCTGCTTTGCATAATAATCCAGCACTAAAGGGTAATTAAAAAGAGAGAGCTAGAAAGAGAGAGAAGCCAAACCAAACCGAACCAATTTTCTGGCTGAGGTATACCTTCTCAATTTAAATCTCTGACAGGAAAAACAGAGATCATTTCAAAATATTTGTTAATAGTTGGTTTATTAGAATTAACTGTCTCTCTTAAAATAGTTTAAATTCTTGGCCGGACATGAATAATCTATAGAGAAAATCCTCAAGACTGGCCGAGCTAAGCCGGACTGACACCTGGATCTCCCTCTTCGGCACTGCTCTTCTGCCAGTCAACGCACGTTCTTTGCTTGCAAATATATAAATTACTTTAATAACTCGATACTATTAGTTCAGTAATTTGTTAATATTATACTTTTATTTGATATGACATTTTAGCTCTGCTTGATTAGATGAAACAGGCACACATGCTTTAGCTGTTAAAACTCCATTTTCTGGTTCTATGTAAAGCAACATCTAAAGCAGCAGAGAAGGGAAACAGTTGTTTTCAAAAATAGTTAAGCCAGACTGTTTCCTGAAGAGACTTCATTTATTTTTCATCCTCAGATGCTACTGGCTATTTTTGGTAGGGCTAGACATTAATACTGACCAGTTTAGCTTTCCTGACCGTCAACAAACTATCCCACAATGAACCTGCCTTCACACTGAAGCCATTGTGGTGATCCTTTAACATACACATATCCTAAAATATATGCTCAAAGTAAAAAGATCCGAATTCACAAGAGTATGAAATATTTATAAAAAAAATCATGCATCAGATTGTACAGTCTAGAAATAAAAGATTCAAATTCAGTAATAAAGGTAAGAGCAATACTCGCTCTCATATTTAAGAAAAGACCTGGAAATCCCAGCAGTCCTGGGCTCAGTTATCCTTTTCTGCTTGCAGAGAAGCTGCAGCCAGGGCTACTGCTGTGACTGGCTGGGCGATTCCATGGAGCTGCATCTTTGCAAGTTTCTTCTGTTCACACTCTGTGACCAAACGGTTCAACTCTGCTGCACTGTATCCAATAAGAGTCTTCAAGTCACAGACAAACTTGTATACAAATCTCTTGCCTTGAACTTTACAAATCATATCCCCATCATAATAATACCTTTAAAAATAGAAAAACACATCAGCACTATATAAAACAATAAAGAGCTTGGACTTACAATCTTTCACAGACTTTTCTATAAGAAGACTAGGAGAATACTGCATCTACCATAGCAGCAATTAACGTTGAAGTTAAATAGAAATATTTAATGTTACTATCCAAGAAAACTTCAAAACATTATTTACTAAAATTTCAATGCTCAAAACTTCATATACTAAATTTTCAAAGCATATTTTCCATAATTAGGATAAAACACTGATTTAAAAGTAAACATTAAACAAAAACAAAACAAAAAAAACTTGGGAGCAGTAACAGAATCTATGAACAGGGGTTTAGAGTCAGAATGCTCAAATTTGAAATCTAGCATCTTTACTCATTTCCTTTGTGACCAGAAGAAAGTCACATTTTTGCTAAGCTTTTCTTCTTCATCTATAAAATGAGGTTAAACACAGCACTTACCCTTATAGAACTGCTGAAGATTAAAAGGATAATTTTTGCAAAGTGCTTAAGCACACAATAACTAGCATATAACCTTCTATAAAATATAAGCTATGTTAATAATTAGGATTCCATATAGTATGAAGAAGGTTTTAATATACAAATACTGTGGACTGTTGGAATGTCCACTTTTCTGTCTTGTACAAAATCCTGTATTGTGTAACTGTGCCTTCACTTAGTACGTAAAGGCTTTCCGTTCAGAGAAATTCTCCAAACCCAATAGGAAACCTCCAAGTTTAAGTAAAAGGGCTAGAAGAAACAATACAGAAAAACAGGAAATAAGACATCATTAAGAAACAATGTTTCTAAACCTACATTGGTTCCTTTTGGGGAAATCACTCTAGAGCAGAGATTTTCAACCTTTTTCATCTCATGGCACACACATAAACAAATTACTAAAATTCTGTAGCACACCAAAAAATATATTTTTTGCTGATCTGACAAAAAAAATTATAATTTTGATTCAGTCACACCAAATGGCTATTGTGTTGGCTGCTGTCATTTTTTTAATTTGATAATCTAAGGGAAAAGAGGTCAGTGCCCCTGACTAAATAGTCAGGTATTGCATAAAAATTCTTTTGACACACCAGTTGAAAATCACTGCTCTAGAAGTCTGTTTATCGCTGCTTTCTCTGGAGATGGAAATAGAGCAGGATTTATATTTAATTTGGAAAACAGACTTTATTTACCATTGTGCACTGCCAATTCCAATAACAAGAAAAAACAAGTGAAGATTTCTGGGCTGGCAGACTGTGAAGCCTTTATATTTTAAAATTACACTGCCAATTTGCACCCATTTGACAGAGTTGTTAGTGATTACAAAAAGAACATTTGCTAAAGTACCAGTGGTATAAACTACAGTGTTTAGCAGGATTTTAATATAAAAGTCACTCAGTTTAATCAAGACCTTTAATGAAATGACTGACCTATACACAGGAAATCATGTCATCTTTCCCTAAATGCAGAACAGCAAAAACAGAATAGTTATGATTCACTTTGCCGGTAAGATATAAAACACATTGGCCATGGTCTTGTGTTTCTTTTTGTGCCAATTACGTGGATACAGACTTGAGAGCTCAGTCCCCAACCCACAAATGCTTGTTATCCAGTTTAAAATGCTATAGGCATTTCACTTTCTTAAAAAAATTCCTACATAAAATGTGAGGCTGTAACAAACAGACACTTGAGAGAAAAAGGAGAAAGGAGGAGGAAAGTGGTTTTATATTTCAAGGAGGAAAATTAAGTTAGTAAGAGGTGATAAAAAATCCATATACATAAGTTTCAATTTTACTTAATACGTCCTTTAATCTAGTAGATAAATCATATAGTTGCAAACAATTTGCTGCATTTGTTCCCTCTCTAAATGAAGAAAGTTGAAAGGTACACAATACCTGTATTTTCATGGGCATGATTTCTTTTCTTTCCTCTTTTTTTTAAAGCTTGTATTTTTTTTAACCTTTTACATTGTAAAATATATTCCAGACAGAAAGGACAGAAAAGTGGGCAGTTCAGTGATTTATTAAACTGCACATTCACTTGTTGACTATGAATCAGGTCAGGAAACAGAACACTGCCAGCACCCCAGAATCTCCTCTACAGCCCCTCCAAATCATCACTCCCTCCCCCAAAGGTAAACACAATCCTGTTTCATCATAGTAATCTCAATGCTTTTATTTATATCCTGATCACCCCAAAATGCATCTTAAATGCTATAATTTAGTTTTCCTGGTTTTTCGAACTTTACTATATAAATACATTCATACAGTATATAAATGGGTCTGAATTCTTCCACCAAACATGTTTATGAGGTTCACCCATATCAGTGATTGTAGCAACAGTTCATTTTCATGGATACACAGTACATACTCTTGTCTACCACAATTCATTCACTCTACTGTTGACAGATACAGGTATCCCATGCATCCCAAAGTTCGCATACACCACTTTATTTTCACGAAAGACCTACGTTAGTACCTGCTATCTGTCACTAGTCAAAAAACATCCGGAGAGTATTTTCACTTTTATGGAAAAAAAAAAAAAGCAAAAATAGTGTTCAGCATTTGTTTTGCAGGGAGCCACCACAGAGGCAGCATGCACTCCGAGCAGCAGCCCCATCAAGCCCCCTCCCTAGGAACTACACTCAGTCTCTCAGCATCAAGCAGCCAACACTTTGAGCTATCTGTGAGCACCTGTGCTTTATCTTGATTTATTTTGTGCATACCTGCTTTCATTCCATGGTAGTGTTCTTTCAGATTTTATGTGTTATTTGACACGGTTTGGGAGGTTATTTCTGGGTCTGGGAGCGCTCTGAAATATTTCCATATAAATTAATGGTAACTACTTCTTCGCTTTACGCTGGGGTTCAGCTTATGAAAGGCTATATTGGGCCGCTCTACTTTCAGATCCTGGGAGAAACCTGTATTTGGGTAGTTTCTGGTTTCTGAATATTATCAATAACGCTGTTATGAGCTGTGTGGACATATGCATACATTTTCATTTGTTAAACATTTAGAAGAGAAACTGCTGGGTTAGGGTACAATTTACATTCTTGCGGCAAGTGCAGGAGCATTCCCACCGCTCCATGTCCTCCCCGACACGCCAGGTACGGCTAATCACTTTAATTTTAGCTATTCTAGGCTGTGTGCTGACCACTGCATTGTGGCGTTGTTTGTTTGTTTTTGCCAATCCTCACTTGAGAATATTTTTCCATTGATTTTTTTATTATTATTTTTTTAACCCTCACCCAAGGACACTTTTGCATTTATCTTCAGATAGAGCAGGAGGGAGGGAGAGAGAGAGAAACATCAATGTGAGAAAGACACATTGAGTGGTCGCCACTCACATGACCCCAGCTGGGGCCGGGGGCAAACGGCAACTGAGGTACGTGCCCCTAGCAGGAACCGAACCCGGGACTCTCTGGTCTGGGGGCTGACACTCTAACCACTGAGCAAAACTGATCAGGGCCCATTGATTTTTAGATAGCGTGGAAGGGAGGGATGGAGAGAAAGAAACATACACAGGAGAGAGAGAAACATAGATGTGAGAGAGCCATCCACTGGTTGACTCCTGCACGACCCCAACCAGGGCCAGGGATCAGACCTGCAACCCAGGTATGTGCCCTTGACCAGGAATCGAACCCATGATCCTTCGATCCATGGACCAACCCTCTAACCACTGAGCCAAACCAGTCAGGGCTTATTGTAGTTTTAAATTGCATTTCCCTAGTTACTAATGAGGTTGCACACGTTTGTATATATTCCCTAGCCATTTAGAAAATCTATAATGTGTCTATTTAAGTCTCTCTTCCATTTTTTCTCTTTTTCCTATTGAATTGTAAGAGTTCTTTAGATTATCCAGGTATGATCTACTCTCTTGATGATGAGGTCTGATGACCAGAAGTTCTCAATTTAATTGTACTCCAATTTATTGATCTTTTCTATTAGGGTCAGTGCTTTTGATTTTGTTTAACGTGTTTCCTCATCAACCAAAGTAATGGAGGTACGTCTAGATGCTTCCTATTTTACTTTCGACATTTAGAGCCACAAGCTACATGGAACTGGTTTTTAGTATGATATGAGGAAGTTTTACTTTCTTCCCATATGGACAGTTAATTGTCCCAACACCACTGGTTGAAAAGTAGGGCTTTTCATCATGTCCTCTTCCCAGGGCCATTTTTAAATCAAATGCTCGTATATTCTTGGTTTTATTTGGGCTATCTATTCTAATCTAGGGTCTATTGGACTATCCTAAGCAAACAGTACATTGTTTTAGCTTTACTGCTGTAGCTTCATAGTGAGTCTCAATAATTCATAGAGCAAGCATTTACACTTGACTAATCTTCTTCAGGCTAGTCCTTTATAGTCCCACATAAATTTTACAGTTACTTTGTCAAGTTCCATGAAAAAACTTATTCAGATGGTTACTGCATTGCAACTTAGGTTGATCTAAGAAGAATCAACATTTTAATTATTAATTCTAATAATTCATCTATAGTTCTGAGATATAATTTATAAGTACAAAATCATATCAACTGTCAAAAATGACGGTTTTAATTCTAATTATACCCAAAGGATTTTTAGATAGTTGGCAAAGTGTTTGAGACTGCATTAGGTGATAAGCACATTGAAAATAAAGCATTTTAGCCCTGGCCTGTTTGGCTCAGCAGTTAGAGCATTGGCCCACGGACCAGAGAGTCCTGGGTTCAGTTCCCGCTAAGGGCTCGTACCTGTTGCAGTTTGTCCCTCGCCCCAGTTGGGGTCGTGTGAGTGGCAACCACTCGATGTGTCTCTCTCACATCAATGTTTCTCTCTCTCTTCCTCCCTCTCTCCCTCCTGCTCTATCTGAAGATAAATGCAAAAAAGTCCTTGGGTGAGGGTAAAAAAAAAAAAAGAAAAAGAAAGAAAGCATTTAGTTACTTATGAATGCTAAGGAAAACAAAAGGTCATTCTGGAAAAGAAAAGTAACCATGGTAAACCATGTAATAATACCTACAATGGCCATGATCCTATAACAGTGAATGCTGATCTAACCAAAATTTCCACATTATATTGGGATGAGGGGACAGAAAGGGTACGTATATATGCAGTGATGACAGGTAAATCATAGTCTCTCACTGTGAAACTCATATAAAATGTCCAAGTGAAAAATAAAGGTGCAGTAAAAATGTTATTTAGAAATTCAGAAGTAAAATGCAGAACTACTTTTCTATATTTACTCTTCAAATAAAAACAAGACATTATTCTATGATATTCCTATATATCTTACTTCCCAGATACTTAAATACACACACTGAATTTCCATTATTGTAGTCATAATTTCTTATAGTAATTACATCAAAAAATTTCATACTACTTAGGGGAAATTATAAATAATTTTATTCCATTCCAATTCTGTCAATGGAAAGGTTGGATATTGATTCAAGCAGGTGGTAGGGGAAGAAAGAAACACGGAAATGGGTCAACATTTTGCATCTAATTATAAAAAGATAATATCTACATATTTGCTAAAATTTATACTCAATTCAACTATGCAAATGACAGTATCTTTATTTGTTACATAAATGATAGAAACCTCAAAGATTAAACATGTTAGTTTTAAACAGAGTAGCATATGATTTTAAATCAGATAAAAACATGTAACTTTTCCCTGTTAGGCTATCAGCAGATTTCTCAGCAGTAACAAGACAGGCCAGAAGCGAGTGGCATGACATTCAAAATATTGAAAGATAAGAACTGCCATCCAAGAATAACCTATCCTGAATATCTTCAGATATAAAGAAGAAATTAAAGGCTTCCCCTGATAAACAGAAACAAGTAATCATAGAATAACCTTACAAAAACCTTTATGTACCTTAAAATTAGTACTAAAGATCTCCTTAAGAAGTCATTTTTAACATAATATGAAAATTTTTAACTTTTTTCATATATAAAGAAAACAACATCTCATGAACAAGTAGTTTAACATCATTACATAACAATGTTTACATGTAAAATAAGAAGCCATTTTTTAGAAAGGCTTGATATTTATTTTAAAAAGTCATAAATGCTTACCTTAATGCACGACTGAGTTTCTCATAGTTCATTGTAGGTTTATTTTTACGTTGTCCCCATTTTTGTGCAACCAGTTCAGGCTGATTTAGCTTAAACTCGCCTTCATCACCAACCCAAGAAATGCAGTCTCGAGCATCCTTGTCAGTAAGAAGTTCTAGCAAAAACTGCCACAGTTGAATCTGGCCATTGTTTCCTATATTGACAGGGACAAACATTGACCATAATGTTATGAATTAACTGAGGGGAAAAAGGCAACAAAAGGTTCTCCAGTTCTCATCTCGGCCACGCTAAAAGCACGGATGTTTTTTCAAATGCTGTCTAAGCACTGCCAGAGAAATAGTCCATACTCACATTTTTATATAGTGAAATAAAACAAAATACACATAATTCAACAAATTGTATAAACACCAGATGACAATGCAAAAATACCTGTTCTGTTCCCAGGTGAACTTCTATCTTCTCCTGAAATCCTTGGAGCTCTTTGTACTTTAGCTGCCTTTGCACTACTGTTTATACCTTTAATGGTAGTCGGTGTTGCAGATTGTACTGATGCTGGAATAATTTGGACAGCTGCAAAGAAAGACAAAAGAAAAACTCTTTTCCCTTCTAATACAAGCAGTAAAAAAACTACTGAAAGACATAAAATGCAATTAGTTTAACTAATGCTCCTCTAATTACCTCAACAAAAGTATTCACTTCAAAAGCCTTACTCCATAACAGTTTTGAACAAAATTACAAAAAAGTTCCAAAGATAAGGTATGATGTCTGTCTGCATTACGATTTGTGAATCTCAACTTAGTGAATAAGAGATGATCTTATTTTTGAAATAATTTAGTGGTGTATATATAGTTATAAAATATTTGTTCATTAAAAATGGTTTATCAAATGCTAGAGAAAATGTAGACAGCCCTGGCCGGTTTGGCTCAGTGGGTAGAGCATCCACCTGAGGTCCGGAGAAAATGTAGACAAATGAGGACTCACATTCCACTACTGATGAGAGTACAATCTTATACCAACACTTTGAGAAAAAAACTGGTAAAACCTAGTAAGGTTGAAAAGGTAGAAACCTTATAATCCTACAACCAGAGAATCTCATATATATTCTGACAAATACTTATTTGATGATGTTCACAAAGTTTTAATATACAGCAGCAAAAATGAATGAAATCGAGCAGTTAGGATCAATATAGGCAAGTCTCAAAACTTTTAAATAAAAAAACAGATTATAAAAGGATATGCTCAGTATATTAGCATTTTCCTAAAAAAGTGTAAACATACAAAACAATGATAAAAGTGTTTATGGTTACATAGTTGGTAAAAATATAAAATATAAATAGAATAATAAACATCCAATTCAGGATAGTCATTTAAAATGGGATCTACAACTGGTAAACTTTATATATAAAGATTTATTTTTTAATAGTGTATGGTGTTATGGTATACACAGATGTTGCTTATCATTTACTATTTCTTTGCATATCTAAAATACTTCATAAATATTTAAAAATTAGTTTTTCTTTTTACTACCTTAAAGTACTAAATAAAGGAAACATTTTTTACTGATAAATGGGCCCGACGTGTATCATGGGCATGAATACTTACGTTGATCAATTGTAACTATCTCATTCATCTGTTGTTCTTGGCTTGCCAATACATCTGAAGAACACACATAAAAATTTTTGTTATCATTTAAAACCAGAAATGCTGATCCAGTAAAACTGAACTTAATATTTGATAGTCACTTTATAACAGGTATTTTTAAGAGAAGTAACAGATGGAAAACTTCAATTTCTTTTAGAGTTCATTATTCAAAGAACCATGGTTTTCTAAATGTAAGTATCTGTATCTAAATCAATCTTTCTCTCTCTCTCTCTCTCTCTCTCTCTCTCAAGCCATGTAAAACATGAATATCTTCAACATCAGATCACAGATGAGAATATATACACACTGAAATTATTTAGATATACATTCTTCACCAAAAAGGCTCCCTCAAGATGATCTGAGAAACCTTCATAATTTAATAATCTGTTCTAATATCCACTTTTAAATAAAAATGTTTTAACTTGACAATGCTTCTTAAAGATAGCTAAATTTTCAATAAAACTGTAGCTGTCCTAAATGTCACAACACTAGCTAATTTAAATGTCTACAAATACAGCTCTCAACATGAATTACATCATAAAAGGCTCCAATGCAACCAGTTAGAATCATTCATTCCTCATCTATCGTCATTCCTTACTCAAATGCTATTTTTCACCTCTCAAACAAGAGGTACACTTCCCAGTCTCTATTACTTTAGCCTGTTTATTGCCCATCATTGCCTGGAAGCTTCTGCCTTGAAACTGAAATTGTTCCCACCAGAAATCATGTGTGTACTGCGAGTGAGTCCTGGACCTGGGCTCCCAACAGTTCTACTTAGGATACTGTGCCAGGATCCAGTTCCAGACACACACAGCTGGAAAGGGCTGGAGAACTAAAAAGAAGCCTGAATCCCACCTGTCAGATAGGAGTTTTCTTTGGGAGTTTCGAGTTTGGGAGTTTAAACAACTATATGAGACTGACTTCAGAGAGATGTGGGTTCTGATCTGAGCATTTGCTTTATTGGATGTATGACTGGTTGTTATTCAACCAACTTGAACATTCATTTCCTTATGTTTAAATGAGATGTCCCCCAACTACCATCTCATGAGGTTGTGCTGAGGATTAAAGGAAAATGCTTTTCAGAAGCACAGTGCCTGAAACCTAGCTAACTTTTCAGTAAACTGAAGATGCTACTGTTTTACACAGATTCTTAGTTCTGAGCATTCTCGCCTAGAATTGTTGTTTCAGTTAAAGAAAAATCCATGCCTTATGTTTATGGTATATTTTTCCCAAAAATGTTATAAAATAACCTTGAAAAGACAAAGAGCTATTGAAATGGAAATTGTTCCATTTGTGACTATAAATGAACAAAGGTGCCCTAACCTAAAAAGGCAAAAGAGAGTCACCATCACACAGCACAGGCGTGACCAACCTACAAGATTAGCTTCTTTTAAGTCCTGATTCTCAGAAAGAGTTTGGTCGGTTTCCTGGAAACTCTCAAAAGAGAAGGCACAGTATAGAAAGAGAGGAGTTTCTGAAAGCTTGGAATAAGACCACATAGGCACTCTAAATATTATATTCCTGTGATTTGCAGCCTTAATTCAGAGATTAAATAAGATAATACACATAACTCTTAGCACAGCCTTATATAGTTAATAAACATTAAGTACTACTGCTTTTATCAATAAGCAACTATGATAACAAAGTTATAAAGAAATAAAATCAAACTTAAGTTACAATGTAAATAGATACTAGCTCCAATTTATACATTTTCGAAGAAGCTCCAGATGACTCCAGAGAATTTCTCCCCGAGGGACCCGCTGAAAGAAATCTTCTTGGTTGAGACTACATAATTCTCGTCCTGAAATGTTGAGTGTGCTGAGGTCTATATCAGTCATGCTGAATTCCTTCATCACCCAAACCACCCAATGCAAGACTTGGTCTGTAGACCACTGTATAGGATCTAAAAAAAAAAATTACCATTAGCCTACTTCCATCTTAGATGTTACATACATTTACAGTTAACTTACAAATACACATACCACACACAAAATCCAGACAGTTTTTTCCCCAAGTAAGTAAATAAACAGCATATAAAGAAAAAAGAAGTGTATACTACATTTTCTCCTCAACTTTTTAATTTCTTAATCTAATTTCTGATGGATTCACATGGTTCTACATTAATTGGTCTGAAATTTTATCAAGAAAACAAAATGCAAAATGTTCTCCAGTGGGCTAAATGGAATAAAATTTGTGATTACCCTGGAGATAATGGAGTGAGTTATCCAAGTTTAAAAAGTTATCTTGTAGCAGTGTATGATGTGGTGCACTGAAAAAAAAAATAGAAGAAGTTTCTAAGGAGCTAGATTTATTATCCAAAATGTGAACAATGTACTCATTTCTCCCTTTTGCTTCCTGTAAAAAGCTGGTTGCTCCTGCACTTACCCTTAGGGTACAACATACTAACTGCCTGTTTACTCAGCTGTCTTCCCTACAATTCATTAAGGTCTTAAATACAAGGACTGTGTCTTGTAAATCATTCTATCTTCAAAATTTACCACAGTGCTTTGTGCATACATTTGCTGAATCAAAAAGAGGTGAATCCAAATAATAACATTTCCTCATCATCTTTTACTGATTAAATTCACAAATGAAAAAAATGGCCAACATGTATAAATATCCCTGGGACCTAAAAGAGCATTCTACCCATAGAAGTTTAATAAATAACAGCTGAATTAATTCTGGTATAGGTATTCATGCATGGAGATGATCTATCCAAGTAATACTGGTTCTATGCCCTGAAGATACACGCTATTCAATAAGAAAGTGAGAAAAATAACATTTAGGTACTTATCAAAAGCCAATTTACAATAAAATGAATCAACATAAAACTAAAGGATTAACAGCCACAGAATTGATTTTTTTTATTTGATTTTTTCACAAAGAAGTTAAGGGAGGGGGATTCTGAGAAGGCAGGAGCAAAGTTTAAAATTTCTCTGAATTAAAAAAAAATCACTAAAAGCAACAAGAGAGCAAACCCAAAAATCCATTAGTAGTTATAATAAAACCAGGTGACAAGATATCCCCATGGACCCCAAAATACATTCAGGTGAAGACAAAACACATCAGGTAACAGCCACAAGACCTCCATGGTATCAGCATCTATGCAGTAGAACGCACAGGGGGAGCAGAGACATCTGACACACTGCACATTGTGAGCGAGGGAAAACCTGCACAGAGCCAGGAAGTACAGTATTCATTAACAGGCCAAGGGGAAAAGAGCAGCTCAAAGTAGTTTTGCCCGATCCAGCAGCAGCGGAGTACAAAGGTCTTCGGTAAGGTGTAAAGGGCTGGAGAAGTGTAGCACCTGTGAGTTTTTCAAAATGAGGCAAAATCACTTCTAGAAAGTGAACCACAATGAGGAGAAACTGGTGGGAGTGGAACTGAAACTGACTGCAAGGAAAAGGAAAGAGCAGGGCCAGATAAAAGTGGAGTAAAGAGTAAGGGAACAGTCGGGAACGGAGAAAGCAAGTGGCTCTGTGTCTGAATGCTACTTAAACACAAGAGATGAGGGGCTGGGGATGGTTAGAAAAACTATGCTGAACCACATTTCCCTTTAAAAGTCCAAGGAAGCTTATTTTACATAAACATAAAACACGTATCAAGATTAAAAAGTTAGGATAAAATAGAAAGTCTGATTTGTTTTCTTAAATAATATCAGGACTCCTGGTTTAACATTACTAATTGGCCATACATGTTCTCTTTGCATTTTTTCTCTAAGACCCCAGGAAAATTACAGTAAAGGTATTTTTAAGAGATGGAAACACATAGGAATATAAATGGGGAATGTCAGAAATTATTTGTGAGATTTCATCAAATATTTGAAGATAATAAGCAGAGTGAAAATACAGCAGAGTAGGAAAAGCTATAACCTAAAAGATCTATCAAGGAGGATACCAATGAAAAGTGAAAGTAGTCTTGCCTACAGAACCCTTTATTGGCTCAGGTCATGGAGGTTCCAGGTAACAGGAGAGGTTTAAGTGAAAAGTGTGGAGATTGATTTAAAGCATATGATGTACTTAGAACCTCCCAAGGCCTCTCCTTCATTCTCAGGAACACAGATCAGACACATGAAGCAGATACTGAAAGAACTGATCTCAGAACAGTCTAAGAACTGAAGAGTGAGACCACCACCTCCTCACCTTCCATGTCTTTTTCCACTTCTACAATGTGGCATTCACATCCTAACCCTAACTCACACCATCCTTCTATTCCTGACAGGTATATGTGGCCAATGCTCCAGAAACTGAAGAGGTCGAAGAAACAGCTCTATACATGGTGGCACTTGAAATTATTTTAATGAAAGAACCAATACCCCAACTTTACCAGTATATAGTCAGAAAATTCCTTCCAGAACTTCAAACTAATTTGCTTTGAAGTTATTCCCTCTTAAATAAATATAAAGAGATGGTCAAGAATAATCAGATATTTGAGAGACTAAAATCAAATTAGAAAAATAAACAGAAAAACAAAAATGGGAGGAAGCAGAAATTGTGCAATAAAGAACTAAAAACAAAACAAAAAACAATACATTCCCCTCCCCACCCCATCAATGTACTTAGAGAGGTAAGAGAAAACATATATCCGTAATATAAGATCAGAAAGCCATGAAAAACAACAACCAAAAATAAAGAGCCCTTATAAATGGAAAATAAAAATCAGGTTGTAATATAAAGACAAAAAACAAGATTGACAGAAGGAAGTGCAAATACATGTGGAGATGAAAAACAGGGAAGCAAACAGCTGTAGAGGGCCAGGAGATTCAACAGGAGGTCTAGAAAAAGAACAGAGAAACATTGGGTAATTATCAAAATAATGATACAGAAAAATTTCCCAGAACTGAAGGCTACAATAGTCTAGATCAGCACTGTCCAGTAGAAATACAGTGCAGCCCGGCCAGTGTGGCTCAATGGTTGAGCGTCGACCCATGCACCAAGAGGTCGCCAGGTTGATTCCTAGTCAGGGCACATGCCCAGGCTGTGGGCCCAATCCCCAGTGATGCAGGAGGCAGCCAATCGATGTTCTCTCATCAATGTTTATATCTCTCTCCCTTACTCTCTCTAAAATCAACAAAGAAAAAAATGTTTAAAAGAACAATAGATTTGCTCTGATTTTACTTTTAGTCAATTTTAACATTCCCTATAACTCAATTTGACCAGACTTCTATTAAAAATTCATTAGTTTTCTCCACAGTTGTTTAATGTAAATAAATAAATAAATAAATAAAAATAATTAAAGATATGAAAAATTTAAAATTACAGGAAAAAATATATATAGGAATATATATGTATGAATATATGAAGAGGTGGCTTTAAGTTCCTCTCAAGATATAAAATTGATATGTATAAACTTAGAAAACTTTCCAATGTGGATCAATACTTCAAAGAGATTTCAAGTAGCTATGACCAACTAACCATATTTAAATTTTGTACAGAATTAAGCAATTAGCAAAACACACACACACACACACACACACACACACAACAACAACAACAACTACCCTTAGGTGCAGAAATAGAAACCTGAAGCAATTAGTTTCCAAAGAAAATGTTAATCATTTCTAAAACTTTCTGGTAGGTAACAATTTCATGAGAAAAAAATCACAAATAATATTTTAAAGTCTCTCTGTCTCTAAATAAATCTCAAATGTCATAAAAGAGCTTCACTCTAAGTAAATAATATTCTTAGTAGAAACTCTGAGTTAGAGTTTATAAGCTGGCTACCTACAAGTCATTTTTATACATTACTTTCTGTAAAAGAATCTACTATAGAAGAGTTCTTGAAAAGTCAAGCAAACCCTAGAAAGCATCATTTCAAATGTTTTTACACTTCCTTCTTCCCTTCTCAGCATTCTCCCCACAGGAGATGACTCCCAACTTACTAACACTAAGGTCAAGTACATCATTCATACTAGCTTCCACATGTCAAAAATAACTTAATATTTTCATCCTATCTCTGAGAGGCTAGATCTCATCCTTTGAACTAGGCTCTTTTATGTTGTTATGCTTCAATTAATGACCTTGCTCCTTGTTTATTTAATCTCGCCTCCCGCTAGTTCCATACTATATATCTACAAATACACTCAAGTCACCACCAACTCTTCAATCTCCAATATTATTTATTTCCCTAGCACTCTTCCCACTTGTCCCCACAAAATTAATATTCAATTTTCTCTATTTCTTTCATGTTTATTTATTTCTATTAACTAAGCTTTGTCTCCACCTCTATAGTTACTGGGTTTTTTTTAATTTTATTTAGAGAGAGGAAGGGAGAGAGAGACAGAAACATTGATGAGCAAGAACATCGATTGGCCGCCTCCTGCATGCCCCCCACTGGGGATTTGGCCCACAACCTGGGCAAGTGCCCTGACCAGGAATCGAACTGACGACCTCTTGGTGCGTGGCTCGATGCTCAACCACTGAGCCACACCAGCAAGGCTCTATAGTTACTTTTTTTTTTTTAATCCTCATCCAAGGACATTTTTTGCATTTATCTTCAGATAGAGCAGGAGGAAGAGAGAGAGAAACATCAATGTGAGAGAGACACATCGACTGGTTGCCACCCACACAACCTCAACCAGGGCGGGGACAAACCACAACCTAGACACACGCCCCCAGTGGGAACCAAACCCGGGACTCTCTGTTCCACAGGCCAATGCTCCAACCACTGAGCCAAACCAGCCAGGGCTCTATAGTTACTTTTATCTAAATCTACCAATGAGCCTCTGATCACCAAATTTAATAGCTATTACTCAGTCGGCATTCTTTGACTTTGTCAGCTGCATGGAGTCTTTTAACCACCCAAAATTCTTTCTCAGTTTCAGTGACACTCTATATAGTTCTTATTTTCCTTCTACCTCTCCAGTATTCCACGTTCCCCTTCCTTTTACTCAACCCTAATAATCGACAATGTCCAGGAACCAGTCGTTAACATTGTGTTCTTTTCCATCTTCTCTCTTTCCCTCAGAGACTGCATATACTTTTATGGATTCAATATAAATTCAGTGAGACTGAGACCCAGACAACATCTTTACCCCAGTCCAAATCTTGTGTGCCTCAAACTACTTTCTGGCTGCCTCCAGGTGAATGTGTACTAACTACTACTTCAAAATCAAGTATTGTCAAAACTTTCACTTGAAAAAATCTAATACCAGACTTCTCTACCTTCCCTACTAAGCTTTGGCAGGCATGGACTGTCTTTCTGTGCACCATCAAAAACCTAGCATTTAACACAGTGCCTGGTATAAGTAGTTCACAAAATATGTAATGAAGATGTAACCAATTCTTACCACTATTATAGCCCTAGACACATAAGCGTGAGAAATCAGATCAATACTTAAATTTCACCTCTCCACCCTCATACAATCTTATCAATCAGTTGCTCAGTCCTATCCCTACTCTGACCCATCTCCTCCTCCTTTCTACTCCCACAGAAATTACCTAATCGAAGTAACCTAGGTATCCACACCTAGTCATACCTAACTATAGTAATAATGTTTTCCCCTCACTCTCTCTCTACCTGTTCTAACTTATGCCATTCACCACTGGCACATCCATTTTTAACTGTAATTTCCATCAATCAAAAAGAGTTCTATAATGCTACAAAGGAACTCCTTGTCCACTACATTGCCTCATTACTCATGCATACTGCTACTTTCCAGCTTTGCACATACTCTTCCTGTCAGAATGTCCTTCTCTGCTCAACAACTGCTTTGTCTATAATAAACCCTTTTTCAATTCCCCCACTCCACCCTCCCACTTTCCCAGGCCACTATGACCTGTTTGAGATGCTTAAAGACATGTCATCATTATGGCAATTACCTCTTTTCATCTGCCTTCTCTCACTTCAACTACACTGTGAACACCCTGAGGGTAGAGATTTTTGTTATACAATCACGTGCTGCATAACAATGCTTCAGTCAACCATGGACCACATTTATGACAGTGTCCACAAGATTATAACAGAGCTGAAAAATTCCTATCACTGAGGCACCGTAACACTGTGGTGCAAAGGTTGTGAAGCCAACAAGCTGTGGCTCGGATGGCAAACAACTTAACCTGGGTAGGGACACTGAGGAGCTCCTAGAGGTGGCTCCTGAGGAACTGACTAACAAGTTGCTGGAACTGGAACAGGAATGCATAGCTGAAGAAAAGGTAAGAGAGAAGGAAACTGCACAAGGGAAAGAAGAGCCCCCAAGAAAAATGACAGTGAAGGGTTTAGCAGAAGCTTGCAGACCTCAACAAGCTCCTTTAAAAATTTGAAAACATGGACCCCGACACTAAAAGGTTTTCATTAACAGAGAGGAATGTTCATGGTGCATCATCTGCATACAAACAAATCTACAATTTCAAAAAAACAAGCAAGCCATCATGGACATATTTTTGAAGAGTGACAGACACTTCCTCAAAAGAGCCTCAGGCAGGTCCTTCAGAGGTATTCCTGAAGAAGGCATTGTCATCATGGGAGATGACAGCACCATGGAGTTATTTATTGCCCTGAAAGCCATCAGGTGGGAGGAAATGTGGAGGTGGAAGACAGAGTCACCAATGATTCTAACTCTGTGGAGGCCTAGGGTAATGTATGTGTTTACCTTACTTCTTAACAAAAAAAGTTTAAAAAGTAAAAAAAAAAAAATTTTAATTTTAAAACCTTATAGATTAAGGATCTAAAGACAATATTTTTGTATAGCTGTAAAATGAGTTTGTGTTTTAAGCTGTGCTATTACAAAAGAGCTGAAATGTGAAAAAAAATTATAAGTTTATAAAGTAAAAAAGATATGGGAAGCTAAGGTTAATTTATTGATGAAATAAATTTTTATTTTGTAAATTTAGTGTATTATAAGAGTAAAGTGGTTACAAAGTCTACAATAGTGTACCGTAAATTCTTAGGTCTCACATTCACTCACCACCCACTCACGGCCTCCCCCAGAGCACCTTCCAGTCCTGCATACTCTACTCATGGTAAGTACCCTATACAGCTGTACCATTTTTACCTTTCATACCATATTTTTACTGTACCTTTTCTGTTTAGATACACAAATACTTATACCATTATGTTACAATTGCACACAGAGTTCAGTACAGTAACATAAGATACAGGTTTATAGCCTAGGAACAATAAGCTATAACACATACATAGTCTAGGTATGTAGTAGGCTATACCATGTAGGTTTTGTATGTGTGCTCTATGTTTGCACAATGACAAAACTGCCTAAAAATACATTTCTAAGAATGTATCCTCATTGTTAAGTGAAGCATGATTGAATCTTTGTATTATTAGCACCCAGGGCAGTAGTAGTCCACCATGTGTTATAGTCAAAAGAAAAAAAGCAATATTCTTCCTAAAAATTTTACATTTAAAACAGATTATAACGTACTCACCCTAATATCTTCTATGTCAAGCTTAATGCTTATTATTCTACCTAACATGTGAGCATGTATTTTCTTACCATAGGGTATCCCAAGGCGTTCTTGCTCTTTCCTGTAACCTTCCAGGGCCGCAGCCCATCTTGTCACTTGTTCTGAGGTTTCATCTGAAATGGTTGTAATGTGTTTTGTGCCATCAAGAGTTATCACTTGTGCTTCCTCAACAAGATGTGCTTCTGCTTCAGCATGGTGAGCGTCTGGATCAATAACTACTTCAACTGTTTCCGCAGGTTTAACAATTTCAAGGATGTTGAGCTTTGGTTCCATTCCTTAACAGTGAATTAAAAAAAAAAAATCTAAATAAAAACACAAAATTCACTAACAAAATTTAGTTTATATATTCTCAATGAAAGAACAAAACTTCATTTAAAATATGTTTAGCAATATGTCTAGAGAAGTTAACAGATTCCTATTGAATGATAAAAACAATTCAATAGAACTTTGGTAGATAACAGTGTTGTGTCAATTACTATTTCCAGATTTTGATAACTGTACTGTGATCATGTAAAAGAATTCCTTGTTTTTAGAAAACATACACACTGATATATTTAATAGAAGGGGATCATGTCTGCAACTTATTCATAAACAGGTCAAAAAAAATAATATGGGGGCAAGGAAGAGAATAAGGCAACCTACTTTGCAAACTCCTCTTTTTGTGCTAAACTGCAGAGACTAGATCTGGATATCTATCTCTCTATCTCTCTCTCTCTCTCCCTCTCTCCCTTTTGTTAATCTTCACCTGAGAATATTTTTCCATCATCTTCAGATAGAGTGGAAAGGAGAGTGGGAGAGAGAGGGAGACACATGGACTGGTTGCCTCCAGAATGACCCTGACCAGGACCATGCCACAACTGAGGTACATGCCCTTGACCAAAATCGAACCTGAGACTCTGGTCCACGGGCCAATGCTCTAACTGCTGAGCCAAACCAGCCAGGGCAAGAGATTAGATCTCTTTGCAGGGATGGTACCTGATGTGACTTAGGCTCTAGAATTACCAGTATGAGCCTTCTACTGAGAAATGAGTTAAGAGGGGATAAGCAGGCACATGGCATCCATGTTTTCTGGCTCCTGTGCATCACTGGAGGCAGCATGGTTCTGATCATGGCAGGCAAGGCAGCGGCTTCCTTGGCAGTCCAGCGCTGCGGTGTGGCTGAGGCATTCTTAGAAAGCCAACTAGAACCTATTCTTCCAGCCCTCTCTGTGATCCTGTTATTTACTATTCTACAATATATCCCTTGCTGATTAAACCAGGTAAATGTGTTATACTATCTGCTTCAACTTGACAGATTAAATAATTAATTCAAAAGCATGAATATTTGGCTATAACATTACATCAAGTAATTTAGACAACCATCTAAAACACCCAAAACTGGTAAAATTAAGTTCTCATTATAGAAAAACTCAAGTAAAGTTTCAAATAACTACACTAAAATTAACTTACCTTGGTAAGAAATTACCTGTACACTAAGCTGTACAGTTCCATCTGTCTTTACTCCTTGGTCAAATAAACTTCGTTCTGGATCCAACTGAACATGGGTAAAATGAATAAAATTATTTTCATATAATCATCTAGGTTAATAAAAATGGAGGTACCAAACTATTTAATTACTGAAGCATACTAATCAGATTATAAGAACATACGTAATTATCCAAGTTGTCATCATTTAATTTATAATATCATAATAAGTGTATGCCAAAATTTTAAATATTTTAACCACTGTGGGATTAATTAAGGACAACATAAAAAACATAATTTTTTTTTGTTAATCCTCACCCGAGGATATTTTTTCATTGATTTTTTTTAGACAGAGTGGGAGGGAGGGAGGGAAGGAGGGATGGAAGGAGGGAGAGACACATCAATTAGTTGCCTCCCCAATTAAGCTGGGGATCAAACCCACAACTGAGGTACGTGCCCTTGACTAAGAATTAAACCTTTGGTCTGCAGGCCGATGCTCTAACGGCTGAGCCAAACTGGCCAGGACCAGAATCTATTTTAAATGGCAGTTTTCTCTAGCTCTGGAGTCTAGTTTAGGTTTTTAAATAATGCCAAAAGACAACTGTTTATCCCGTAAAAGTACTTAAAGTAGAAAATAATGCTATTTATTCACCACAAAAAAGCAAGGGCATTTAATTAGTGGGGACAATTATTTTAAATATGTTTTTATTAATTTTTTTAGAGAGAGAGAGAGGAAGGGAGAAAGAGATAGAAACACTGATGTAAGAGAGAAACATCCATCAGCTGTCTCCTGCACGCCCCCTACTGGAAATCAAGCCTGCAGGGGGCATGTACCCTGACCAGGAATCAAACCAGGACCTCTCAGTCCATGGGACAACACTCAATTCACTGAGCCATACCAGCTGGGCAGTGGGGACAATTTTAATAAATGTATTAATATAATACTGGCCATATCTCCCTCGCAATCAATGATATACATTTAAGGTCAGGGTTAATGTTAAATCTCTAATCATAAATTTAATAAGGGACTTATGACTTCACTACCTAACTAGATAAGAACATCATTAATCATAACTCTATATCCTTTAAATATCAGTGCTTTTTCCCCTTTATATCTCCTTATAGTGAATGCATTTCATATAATGAAAAATTGATGACAAAAAGCAATTCTGACTTGCAGACTTTTTTTGTCACTATTTTAAAAATAGGCTTCCACTGTAATTATCTTCAATAGTGAGTATCTTTATGTGTCTGCATATCATGCAGCTAGAAGAGGTACAAAGCTCCCAGCACTCTCATTCCCAAGAGTTCAGTCAATACTGAAGTTATAGTACAAACACATTTTCTAATATTAAAAAATGTCATACATACAAAGCCTAAAACCTTAAGCGACCATGCATCTAACTTAACCAGGGGCACAACAAACTGTGTAACCTGCAGACAGGTCAAACTTGGCAGTTTCACTCAATATAATAGTCTCTGTCTGACACTTCATTAAAAGTTCTCCGAATATCAAGATTTCTCCCCTCTCTAACAGACACTGGTATTATCCACTCAAAGCAATGGCATGTGAAACTCTAAAACTGAGCTCTCAGGTACTGTATACGCTAACTAGTTCAGTAAGACCTGGTGCAAGGACAAAACTCAAGCATGGTATCTGACCTTGGGTCATACTCCTCAAAAAATGCAACTCAGCTATTCCATCAGTTTTCCAGTCAATACTCACCTGAAAATACAAAAGCATTACCACAAGTAGCAAGCATTCTGACTGCAAATGTATATTTGCATTTATTGATATGGAGAACAGAAGTTGCTATCCATAACCTTTTTGAGAGGACTGGAATGCAAAATGCCTTAGGCTAGCTCTGAATTCTGTGGTACTATGAATTATGCATATTTCCATTTATTCAACTAATATTTATTGAAAATCTATGATAGGTTGGATACTTTGCAGGTCATACTTTAAATCTGGATGGGCCAGGTATTGTAAAAGCAACAGCCCTAACCAGTCTGGCTCAGCGGTCAGAGCCTCGGCCCACGGACCAGAGAGTTCCGGGTTTGGTTCCCGCTAAGGGCACATACCTCATTTGTAGTTTGTCCCCGGCCCTGGTTGGGGTTGTTTGGGTGGCAACCACTCAATGTGTCTCTCGCACATTGATGTGTCTCTCTGTCTCTTTCTCCCTCTCTCCCTCCCGCTCTATCTGAAGATAAATGCAAAAATATCCTTTGGTGAGGATAAAAAAAAAGATGCAACACCATTTAGAGCTGAAAAATAATCAAGTCCAGGTTAAGTGGTATTGAGTTATTCAATACAAACTTTCTTAAAAGTCTACTTCAAACAAATGAAAAGTTTCTAAGTCGCACAGGCCTGGGTTCAAATCCCACTGCACTCCTGTGTAGCAGTTACACACTGGGAAACTGTTTAACCTCTTTAGATCTCAGTTCCTGCATTTGCAGAGTATGATTAAGAATATACTGATGAGTGATATGAAGATGAGGAGTTCTGTAATTATTTCTCATTCCATGTAAAATGCCCATATAACTCTACCTCACCATTTTTTTTATTTAATCTTCACCCGAGGATATTTATTCCATTGACTCTTAGAGAGACTAGAGGGGAGTGAGGGGGAGAAACATCAATGTGAGAGAGACACATTGACTGGTTGCCTTCCATACACGCCCCAACCAAGGTCAGGGATTGAACCTGCAACCCAGGTATGTGTCCTTGACCAGGAATAAAATCCTTGACCCTTTGCTGCACAGGCCAATGCTCTAATCACTGAGCCACACTGGCTAGGGCTCTAGTTCACAAATTTCTAATGGCTGCCTTAAATTATAATCTATAGAGTTTATCTAATTTACTGTTTTTGGAATATTTGAGTTCTTATCAGTGTCTGCACAACCATGCGCTAAACATCACAGGTACACTTTTGCTCACACAGGTGAACATTTCTGTAAGAACAATGAGGTGGAACTGCTAGCTATTTCCCATTCAAGATTAATAAACCCTAAATGCTAAATTCCCTTCCCAAAAAAGTATGCTAATTTATCCTCTCACTGTTGAGAGAAGAAAATCAATCTTAAATCCTAAAATTATAGTATTATTGCACCCATCTACATTCCCGTTTTATTATTTATTTTTTCTTTTTTAAGTTTACTTTTTAAAAAAAATATATGTTTATTGTTTTTTTTTTAGAGAGAGAGGGAGAGATAGAAACATCAATGTGAGAGAGAAATATCGATCTGCTGCCTCCTGCACGCCCCAACGGGGGATGGAGCCTGCAACCCAGGCATCATTCCCTAGTTTTGAAAGAGCAATTTCCTCCCTCCCCCTACATTTACTAGACTTATAGAAGCAACAGATAAAAGTATGGTTAAATGGCAACTAAAATGCATAAATTTCATTGAAACATTTCAACTTATTATACACAGAAATCTTGTTTAAAAATAGTAGACATGCGCACAGCTGGTATAGCTCAGTGGATTGAGTGTCGTCCCGTGGACTGAGAGATCCAGGTTCGATTCTCGGTCAGGGCACATGCCTGGGTAGGTGGCATGCAGGAGGCAGCCAATCAATGTTTCTCTCTCTCTCCCCTTCCTCTCTCTCTAAAGAAATCAATAAAAAGGTTCTAAAAAAATTGTAGACATAGCCCTGGCCAGTTTGCCTTGGAGGTCAGTCTCACTCTCCCTGCCCCCTCCCTCCCTTCCACTCTATCTAAACATCAATGGAAAAATATCCCCAGGTGAGGATTACCAACAACAACAAAAAATAATCGACAATGATGATTATAATTTTTAAAAAATGAAAGCAAAAGTTCTATATATGAGGAGAATAAAATAAGCCAAACAATGCAAACAAAACATTAGTATAAGTTAATACTAAAAACAGTATAATACTCTAGTGTATGATTAAGGAAAGTATCTGAGCAATCCCTACCTAGGCTATTACCTTTTATACATTTTTCTTTAAATAACTAAAAATATACTGCAAACATAATATATGTCATAATACTACCACAGGTAAAATCCTATTGCAATGAACTCCAAGAAATATAAACATTGGTGTTTAAATTCTATTCAAAATTTACTGCTGGAGCAAATAAAAATGAAAAGTAATGTAAAAAGCATTTGGTAAAATTATTTCATGTTAAAGATGGGAAAAATAATTCACAAAGAAATTAAAAGGCTAGTGCCCTGGCCAGTTTGGCTCAGTGGTTGGAGTGTCGGCCTATAGTCCAGAGAGACCTGGGTTTGGTTCCCGCTAAGGGCACGTTTGTCCCTGGCCCTGGTTGGGTCGTGAGGGAGGCAGCCACTCGTAGTGTACCTTTCACACCAATGTTTCTCTCTCTCTCTCTCTCCCCCCTCCCACTCTATCTGAACAAAAAATGAAAAAAATGTCCAAAAAAAAGAAATTAAAAAGCTAGTCACAAATAGAGTGAGGAAGACACACTTCTTCAGCTTCCAAGGTCAGTGTGCTTCCCACTACTCTGCTTAGCTCTAATTCAAATATAAACTTTCCATTTTATATTTGTGTAAGTAAAAAAAAAAAAAGAAATGTCTGATTTAGTACTCAATCTTTTAAATATAATTTTAAATAGAAAAAATTTTGCTAAAATAATTCTCTTTATTTCTAATTGCTTAAATTTTATAATAATACAGTTATAGAGATAAAGGGTATAGCTAGAAAGATTAAAGGCCAACAAAAAAATACTTCTCATGCAGACTTAAATGCTGAAATATAAATCTAAAAAAAGAAAAATTACCTGAATATCTTGTAGACATATTTCATGAGCATCCAGAGAACACTGTAGTCTTGGTTCTAGTAGTTTCTTTAAATTGCCTATTGGCTCATTGATGTCTATGGCCTGGCTTACGCATTCAGCTGGGGTGTAGGTTTGTTCTACAATGCTAAATATTAAAGGACATAATAGTTAACAATTACATTTTTACCCTGAAAATTAAAGTAACAATATGCTCAAATCAAAATTTAGTATCAAAACATATTTCTGGTCTTAGAAACTCATTTCTGCATAAAACACCATGCATAGTGGTAGACTAACCATCAACGAGTGTTGCTAAAATGAATACTGAACTACACAAAGAAATGCTAGCTTGAAATTTAAACATTATCACATGAGATATATTTGCAAGGGTGCTTTAAATTTCAAGCCAGCATTATACAATACGTAAGGGAAAAACATTTGCATTTATGTTTTTTAAGTTATTTTGATGAATTTTAGGCTCAGAAAGGAAGATTAAAAAGTCTCCTCAAAATTTGTAAGCCATCTCACCCTGGCCAGTTTGGCTCAGGGGTAGAGTGTGGGTCTGCGGACCAATGAATCACGAGTTCTGTTCCAGCCAAGGGCAAGGACCTTGGTTGCGGTGCATGCCCAGCCCTGGTCAGGGTTGTACAGGAGGCAACCAGTCGATGTGTCCCTCTCATGTGGATGTTTCTCTCTCTCTCTCTCTCTCTCTCTCCCTTTCTCTCCTTCCCACTCTAACTGAAGATAAATAGAAAAATATCCTCAGGTGAGGATTATAAAAAAAAAAAAAATTGTGAGCCATCTCTACTAGTCAAATTCCCTTCCCAACATAAATGCAATTAAATAAATGTAAATTATAAGATGAAAATTTAAGTTATAAAATACTTTCCACTTAGTTTAATCTGAAAACTATAGAATATAATCAGCATAGCTCCACATTAAAAATCATATTTTTCCTGTTAACCTCTCTTAGGGTTATTTTGCATTGTTATTTCATACTTTGGATTCTACAGAACTGTAAATTCCTTAAAGGTAACATCTTTGGTAAATAATTCTACATTATTTTGTAAATAAATCCTTATTTGGGGCCAAAGAGAAGACAGACACCAAGTAATATTTGTTGAATTAATAAATCTGGAATTCAATTAAGTTTCACATGTTTAATTTAAATCTCATTTGTAGTCGCCAGAAACAGTATATTCTAAAAATTTGTCAAGTTCCATTTTCACATAAATTAAAGTATAATGCAATATACATGACATTCAATGAATATAGCCTACTTCCTTCCAAAACTTCAAAATCTGTAAAATAAACCGCTCATGATTAAAAACACACCATTTAAAAATAATTGTTAATGCCCTGGCCGGTTTTGCTTAGCGGTTAGAGTGTCGAGACCTGTGGACCAATAAAATAATTGTTAACTATTACCAGTATTATTAGTTAAAATAAAATAATTGGGTCTTTTGGTAGAGTATTTATATTAAATTCTTCACCTATAGCCCCGTGGGCTATATTTTAGTTTTTTTGTAACAATGATTCTTTTAAAAAAGTAAAACACCACTTTTGTATATAAACTCAGCATTTAAAACGTTTTTAGCCCAGCAGGTGTGGCTCCATGGTTGAGCACTGACCCATGCACCAAGAGGTCGCTGGTTCAATTCTCAGTCAGAGCACATGCCCAGGTTGTGGGCCAAATCCCCAGTGAGAGGCATGCGGGAGGCGGCTAATCGATGTTCTCTCTCATCGATGTTTCTATTTCTCTCTCTCCCTCTCCCTTCCTCTCTCTCTAAAATCAATAGAGATTAAAACAAATTTTTAAATTTTTTAAAAATTGGTTGCCACCATTTAAACCTTGGGAGACTTAATGCAAAAATATAAATTATTAATTTCTCTTGAAAAAATATGGATTATCTCATATCATGACCTAAATTCCAACACAGCAACAATCTGCTACAGCTGGATAACAACTGCTCCCTTTACACAGCTATTCCCCAGGTGAACAAAGTAACTACCTATCTTTTACCAGAGACAGGTGACATTAGCAGTTTTTCCATAAGGGGGCCCAACAATAAAAACTTTAAGCTTTGTGGAGTGTGTGTGTGTGTATGTGTGTTAAGTGTAAAAATAAATATATGGCCCTGGCCGGTGTGGCTCAGGAGCGTCATCCTATGCATCAAAAGATTGCAGGTTCGATTCCCGGTTAGGACACATACCCAAGTTGTGAGTTGGATCCCCAGTTGGGGTGCATATAGGAGGCAATTGGTTGATGTTTCTCTCCCTCTCCCTTTCTGTCTCTAAAAATCAACAAAAACATATTGAAAAAACAAACAAAAAAAACAAAGAAACAACCAAACAATAAAAAAGATATATATGCATGTCAGGCTCCAAGATAGCCCAAATGAGTCTTGTCTCCTAATACACCCCTTTAGAAGTTCCCTCCCACATTCTACAAAGGTTGGACTGTGTGACCCAAAGACTAAGGCAGAAGTGACATATGCTTCTTAAATTAGGTTATGTAAAACAACACTTCAGCTTCCATCTTGGTGAGCATGCTCTCTCAGGCCATTTGCTTTAGGGGAAGCCAACTGCCATGTCATGAGTAGCCCTACAGAGAAGTCCATGTGGTGAGGAAGTGAATAATCCTGCCACCAGCCTCATGAGCGATCTTGGAAACACACATGCTAGCCCAGTCAGTTCTTCAGATGACTATAGCCAGACTGACAGCTTAACTGCAAACTCCTGGAATACCCTGAGCCAGAACTGAGTTATGAGATAATTTGTTACATGAATGAATGAATGAATACATATTAAAATTAAGAGAGACATGTAGTCTTTATTGTTTCTTCTGCTGGAGAAAATAGCATAGGCAAACATGTTGAAGCCCTCTTTTAAAATGTAAGGTCCTCCCGGCCAGTGTGGCTTAGCGGTTGAGCATCAACCCATGCACCAAGAAGTCGCTGATTCGATTCCCAGTAGGGTGCATGCCCAGCTTGTGGGCTCAATCCTCAGTGGGGGACATGCAGGAGGTAGCCAACTGATGTTCTCTTTCATTGATGTTTCCATCTCTCTCTCCCTCTCCCTTCCTCTCTCTCTAAAATCAATTTAAAAAAAAATTTTTAGGTCGTGCCCTGGCTGGCTGTTCAGTGGTTAGAGCGTCAGCCCTCAGAACAATGAGTCTTGGGTTCGATTCCAATCAAGGGCACATACCTTGGTTGCAGTTCATCCCTGGCCCTGGTCGGGGTCATGTGGGAGGCAGTTGGTCGATGTATCCCTCTCATGTCAATGTTTCTCTCTCTCCCCCTCTCCCTCCCTCCCACTTTAACTGAAGATAAATGGAAAACATTCTCGGGTGAGGATTAAAAAAAAAATGTAAGGTCGCTTCCTGGCCAGTGTTGCCCAGTGGTTATAGCCTCAACCCATGCACTGAAGGGCCGTGGGTTTGATTCCGGTCTAGGGCACATACTGGGTTGCTGGTTCAATCTACCAGGGTGCATGTAGGAGGCAAACAATACATGTGTCTCTTTCACATTGATGTTTCTTTTTCTCCCCCCCCCCTGCCCTTCCTACTACCTCTAAAACTCATATGGTATATATATTATTCTCGGGTGAGGATTAACAAAAAATTAATGCCTCTCAGGTAGTCATGACCTTTCCTGTCAGGAAAATATTCTTGTCAGGGCATGGTGGCAGAGGACAGGATTGAGGAAAACTAGTATGAGTTTGTCTTAAGAGCTAGAGCCAGACCTCTCCTCTGCGAAGAGGAGGTAGCATGGGTAACCGCAGCCTGCTGGCAGAACACATGAGGAGTTGCTGAACAACTGGTATAAATCTCAATTATGCCAGATGAATAAGTTCTAGAGATCTGTTGTACGACATTGTGTTTAATGACACAGCACTGCACAGTCAAAAATTTGTTGAGAGTAGATCTCATGTTAAGTGTTCTTACCACAGTAAAACAAATTTTAAAAAAAATTAAGGTCTTAAATCTCAGCTGCACTCTCAACACTCAGCATCCTATTCAACTTTAGTAATTTGGTCCAGTCTCGCTGCAGTTATTCTAACCCTTTATTACTGTACAGAAGCCCTCTATTACTCTTTAGCCCCCTTTTCTTTCAGCATATTACCTCATCTCCTGCTTTACAGACCTAGCCCTAACCCCTAACCTTCCTTAACCTTCCTCTTGACTCCCAAATCTCTATTTTTACCCATGTTCTCCCTTTGGATTCTGAGCTTCCAACCAGTAGTATTCTATTACTAGTCCAAGACTTTTACTACTCTATATGCTTAGTACTGTGCACATAATCACTCATATACCTGTATGCCTTCTCAAATGCAGTGTGGCCTCTACAAGAGCAGGTTACTATCTCATATATATTCCTGACAGTTCAGAGTAGTTATTTATTTATAGATATCTATTAAACTAGTTAATGTTGTAAATTAAACTCTTGAGGAAATAAAAGTAACCAGTACTGATAAAAGAAAAAAGAATTAAACAGTGCCCTAAGGGATAAAAACCATCACAATCATTTGCTCGACGGTTACTAGCTATGCATGTTACTTTACTATTACAGTTTAAAACTACAAATTCATTAAGTCAGAGGAAAAAAAGCAATACATTATCCCCCAAAATGCTGATTTCAGTTGAAAAAGCCCTCAAAAGAGCTTTGGCTTGATTCTTAATTTTAATGAGGTATGTTGATCACATCAAAGGTGGTTAACTCAGATAGTACCAACCTTTCCTCTGTGCACTCTGGTTTCTCTGTCCCATCAATCTCAATTTCTATCAGCTCCTCTGCTTCTCTTTTTGTCATGATTGAAGTTATTTCAAAAGTTCAACCCTGTAATAAATTTTAAGACATTTTGAAATTATCTGCACAAACAGAAATGCTACACAAGTAGAGACCCAATTCAAATAAAAGCAGAGGGCAAGTAAAACAGGAGGAGGTAATCTTCACACATAAAATAAAATCCATATGATACTGATAAAATAGTTTTTGTTTAGATGACACTTACTAGCCTGACAAGAATTCTTTGTCGTTCTATTGCATTTATTGGAATTTGTTCAGCCCAATCTCAGTCAATAAATTAACTCAAGTTATCTCAAAATCAAATGAAAGGTATGTCAACTATATTACAGCAACTTCAGTCTCAACAAGATTCAAACCTGCAGCTTAAAAATCAACATGGAGATGCCCTGGCCAGTGTGGCTCAATTGGCTGAACATTGTCCCACACCCCAAGAGTGGTCACCAGTTCCATTCCCAACCTCCAGTAGGGGGCATTCAGGAGGCATCCGTCACTTTCCCTCTCCCTTCCTCTCTAAAAAAATCAATAAAAAATATATTTTTTTAAAAATCAACAAGGACTGAACTAGCTAAAAGCTGTATTGTATTAGCAGAATGAAGAAAAGTACTTTATTAGCACTGTACTGATAGAGTGATATAAAATTAAAAGTTAATCCTAGCTATGATTTGTGTTACAAATTGCATTAACTTTTTTTTTAAATCCTCACCCAAGGACATTTTTCCATTTTTTGTTCAGACAGAATTGGAGGGAGAGAGAGGAAGAGACAGAGAGAAACATTGACGTGAAAGGGTCGAGTGGCTGCTTCCTTCACGACCCAACCGGGGCCGGGGACAAACTGCAACGGAGGTAGGTGCCCTTAGTGGGAACTGAACCCAGGTCTCTCTGGACCGCAGGCCAATGCTCTAACTGCTGAGCCAAGCCAGCCAGGGCAAAATTGCATTAACTTTTTTTTTTTTTATCCTCACCTAGGACATTTTTCCATTTTATTGTTCAGATAGAGTGGGAGGGAGAGAGGAAGAGAGAGAAACATCGACGTGAAAGGGACACATCAAGTGGTCGCCACCCACACGACCCAACCAGGGCCGAGGACAAATTGCAACCGAAGTACGTGCCCTTAGCAGGAATCAAACCCGGGTCCCTCTGGACCACAGGCCAACGCTCTAACCGCTGGGCCAAACTGGCCAGGGCAAAATTGCATTAAGTTTTAAGGGCCAGTACCATATTCTAAAACAGCAAAATAACAGTTGTCAATATGTACATTATTGTAATAATTCATTATTGCAACGCTAAGAAACTAATACGGTCTTCTTTTCCACTTCCAGTCTCAACACCTCAAACTACTGGGAAGCTGGTTTTCTGACAACTTAGTCCCTAATTAGCTGGCATCCAAATCTAGAATGCCTGATACAAAAAAAGGTCTTATTCTTCCCATATTATTAAGGTTGCTCTCACATGTCCCCTTATAAGGAAGACCAATAGGAGCGTGGGGTTCTCCAGTAGAACAGACATATATCATGCAAGTCAGCAGAATGCCTAGAACCCAGCAGACTTTTGTTTGGATAATAAAAGAATGAAGCACTTTTGTTTTATTTTGTTCTGACCCTGGCCTAGTAAGTCTACCCTTTCCCCACTGAAGAATATTCCTTAACATACTATGTGTAAAATTGTGAAATTCATCCTAAGCACTAGATCAAAACAGGTGGTGACCCTGCAAGACAACATAAGCTCCACCCAGTTTTATGGGATATTTGTTTGTTTATAGAGTACACAAAATACTTTGAATGGTACCTCACTCTTAGTAGGCACTCTATTAAAAAAATATTATAAGAACTATTATACACCATATAAAATTGACTCCAGATGCCTTAAAGGCTTAAATGTGAAAGGTAAGACTACAAAGCTAGAAGAAAATGGTGGGAATTTTTTTGTGGTTTAACAGAAAAAATGCCCTGACCAGTTTCGCTCAGAGGTTAGTGTCTGCCCGAGGACCAAAAAGTCACGGGTTTCATTTCAGTTAAGGGCGCATACCTCAATTGCAGTTCGGTCCCCGGGTCATGCTGGAGGCAACCAGTTGATATGTCTCTCTCACATGATGTTTCTCTCTGTCTCTCTCTCTCCCTCCCATTCTATCTGAAGATAAATGGAAACTTTCCTCAGGTGAGGATTTAAAAATAAAAAACAAGGAAGTAATGTCCACCCACACAAAATCATAAAAAGTGTTGTGTACTGAAAAAGAAGTGAGAAATAGTAAGGTTTATAGCAGGACAGAATTTGAAAGATATTTATGTTTATTTTCAGGGCCTATAAGGATGTCCACTCCTTTCTCCATCACCAAAGTAAAAAAAAAAAAAAAAAAAAAAAAGATCAGAAAACAAGTGAATTTTCTTGGAACTTTGGAAAAAAAGAAAAAGCATGAGGAAGTAACCAGAGGCTGAGAAATGGCCCTAAAGGCTTATCAGCAGGGTTACCTGTGGTTCTCCATAATATAAACACTAAAACAGAGAGTTGTTAAAAAGAAATTCATCTTCATATACTTCAGGAAAAAAAGCCTCATAATCTCTAAACTGATCCTTTTCTCTCTCTCTCAGTTCTCTAAATTTAGCCTCGAAAGTAAGAGATTTGGGAAATTGTCCAAATCACTGATATCACTGCTTGAGCAGGTCTTAGGTCTTTTTGTGCAACCAGTTTCTCTAAACTTACAGTGGAGAACATTACTTGGAGCCTTTCCACATCGACTGCCCCCAACACCCTGGTTTCTCCTAGATTAAATCTAAGCTGGGGTTTAGAACGCTTTATAAAACTGCTATCAACTAAACTTAACTAAAAAGTCCAAAAAAGCCTAGTATTCTTTAAAATACAGTTATGTTTAATATTGTCTTTTGGAGCTACAGCTAAACTTAAAGATTAGTCTTCTTGCCCGGCCGGCGTGCCTCAGTGGTTGAGCATCGACCCATGCGCCAAGAGGTCGCCAGCTCGATTCCCAGTCAGGGCACATGCCCAGGCTGTGGGCCCCATCCCCAGTGGGGGGCATGCGGGAGGCGGCCAATGGATGTTCTCTCTCATCCATCTCTCCCTCTCTGTTCCTCTCTCTCTAAAAATCAATAAAGAAAAGAAAAAAAAAAAAGATTAGTCTTCTTCATTGGAACACATTATTAGTTTAGAGTTCAGGACAACTTTTCCCAATAAAAACAATACTTATATACCTATATTTAATATATATTTTAAATATATATAATAAATGTGAATATAAATTTTATAATCAGCTGAACATTTTCTCAAACTAAAAAATACTTTTAAATACCTGAAGATGCCCTGGCCGGTCTGGCTCAGCAGTTAGAGCGTCGGCCCATGGACCAGAGTCTCGGGTTCGATTCCGGTCAAGGGCACGTACCTCAGTTGCAGCTCGGTCAGGCCGGTAGGGGTCTTTCTGGCCGGTAGGGGTCTTTCCGGAGGCAATCAATCCACGTGTCTCTTTCACGTTAATGTTTTTTTTTCCTCTCTCTCCCTCCCTCCCACACTATCTGGAAAAAAAAATGAATGGAAAAATATCCTCAGGTGAGGATTAAAAAAAATTTTTTTTCTTCATAAATACCTGAAGAAATTTAAAAACATTTTTGTTTTAAAAAATAAAGTCAACAGTTAATAAAAAAGTAAAACGTGTGTGTGTGTGTGTGTGTGTGTGTGTGTGTGTGTGTGAAGAGGGAGGGAGGGAGCAAGAGGGAAAGTGGGGAGAAAGGTTAACACTTGGCGCTAATCGTCACCCCCACCAGGTGAAGGTAGTCACTGTGTAATTTCATTGTACAATTTTTCAAGTTTCCTGTAGATTTGAAGTTTTATAAATAAAAGCTGAAGAGCGATTAGACAGTTTTAATTTAGTATTCAGCCTCCACATGCTCTGATGACTCAATTTAACATCTACAGTAGCTCAGTATTTATTTATTTACCCCTCATAACACACCGTCCTGCATATGCAATCCAGGTAAAACTGACTGAGTTCCACTTAGTGTTAGAACATGTCTTACAGTAAGTGATCTTGGAAAGTCTGGAGCAAACCCGGGGAGAGGGGTTACTCCCCTCGAGCAGCCTGGAAAGAGCTAACCAGCCTCTTCGGGGTAAGACGGGCCACCACCGGCCGGCTCTCCTCGGCTCCCGCGAGCCCGGCCAAGCTCGCCCCTCCCAGGCCAGACCACGGCGAGTTTCCAAATGACTACTCATTATCTCGCAAGGCGGCGTCAGGCATTGTCTTCCCGGCCGTTACCCTAACCACACGGGGATCCCTAAACACAAACACACGAAAGCAGCTTTTCCTCCAGGTCTCACACACACACACACACACACACACACACACATTTAAAAAGTTGGCAAACTACATCCCCCCATCGTTCTCCACTTGCCTTACTGACTCTTTTAAAAAGAAACCCAATGGACACCACATGCACTAACTAATGGCTTGGATGCAACGACGGGAGCACTCTAGGGGCAACGGGATTTGAAAGGAGAGCGAATCGCTGAGTCGCCGAGACTAGTTTTCCACCTTCCTTCGAAATCGCGGGATGTGAGGATCACACCCCGACCACGGACACTGCAGACCGCGGCGGACAAGGCGAGGGGACAGCGAGGGAAAGGAGCGGCGAAAGGTGACAGGGACCGCCCGGGCCCGGGGCGCGCGCCTTCCCAGAGCCCGGCGCCGCGCGCCCCCCGCCCCTCCCCTGCGCTCCCCGCACAGCCTCCCCGCCCCTCCCCACCCTGCTCCCTCAAGTCTCCACGAACGGAAATGGGAGTCACAGCGCCGGGGACCAGCGGAAACAAAACACAGAGGCGGCCGCGGGGGGGCTGCTTTGGGGAAGAAGGCCCCGGAACGAAGCCGGCCCGCGCGGGCCCGCGCTCCCCTCCTCGCCCGCGGCCGCACTCACCCTCTCCGGAATCAACCGGGTCGCCCCCGCCCGCGCTCCAGAGCCGGCTGAGAACGGCAGCGGCGCGCACTCCACCGGCAGCGTCTCTCCCGGTAAAACCTGCAGCTGCCGCGACTCGAAGTGCGAGGCCCCTGGGCCCTTCCCGCGGAATCGGCGCTGAGAAACTCCAACCCCCCTCCCGCCTCCCAGCCACCCCCGGGTTCAGGACTACAAGTCCCAGCAGGTTGTGCGAAACGAACGCCCCAGGCAACGGAGGCTCGCGAGGCACAAGGGAGCACAACGTCCCAGTCCGCTTTGTTTTACACTGTCATTTTGTCGGTATGTTCATACACCTCAACAACCCAAGAAACAGGACTGCTGATTCCAGGCAGGAAGGACTGAACTAAGGGAAAGGCCAGTCCGACTGCGCATGCGTACATAGGAAGGTTGCCAGAAAGGAGAAAGAGAGCTGATCAAGTTAGGAGGAGGAAAGATGGCGGAGGAGTCGCTGGGAGACCCGGAAGCACTTACCCTCCACTTCCTCCCGTTTGCCTTCTGCCTCACCTAGAGCCGTCCGGTCGCAGACTGTCTCCGAGACGCTTCCTGTCCGGTGAGTGCCGACCGACTGAAACGGCGGCCCATAATGCATTGCGATGGCGGGTAGGCGGGTGGGGGTGGAGCCAAAGCCGGAAGTAGAACGGTGGCGGCGGTGGTGGCCCTGGCAGCTCGGGACTGAGTGCAAGGTGAGTGGGAGGGTAGCTGGACTAGCTTGGCCTCTGGGGACTCCGATTCTGAGTTTTTTCACGGGGGTTGGGCTGCCTGTTACCTTTGACCTTCATAGGAGAGCAGCTCTTTGGCTCTGGGACCTTCACGGCTGGCCCGAGGTCACTGCAGACCTCGGCCCTTTTGGACCTTGAGGTTTGCCAAGTAGGCTCGATCAATAGCCTTGATAATAATACCCTCTCTGAGGACAAGCCGGGGTGGTGCGGGTTGCAGGGACGCGGGGTCTCATGGACCCTCAGCCCGGCTGGGACAGCCCAAGGTCATGTTCACCGGGCAGGTCTTCAGCCTGGCCTGCCCCACCTGGGCGCATGGGAGATTGTTCATAGTATTTTCAGCGGAACGTGCACCGTAAGAGTGAGAAAGGTGATACTCATCTTAAAAGTTTGCAACCCACCTAAAAATGTCGATAGAGCTAAAACTTGGGCAGGCAGCCGTGATTTACACTCTTATATTTCCTGCACAATCCTACACCTCAACAACCCCGGGGAACGGAACACTGCCAGGGGAGGGAGTGTGTGCTTGAACCAGAGACGAGGCCAGAGTGCGCATGCGAACACAAAGGTTCCAGGAGGGAAAAAGCGGGGCCAGTTAGGCAGATTGTGAATTGACTTGAAGAATATGCTTTGTGGGACCCTGGCCAGGTAGGTAGGTTGGTTAGAGCGTTGTCCGGATACACAGGGTTGAGGGTTCATCCCAGGGCACATGCAAGAGTCAGCCAATGAATGCACAAATAAATGGAACAACAAAGTTGACGTTTCTCCCTCATTCCTCTAAAGTCAATAAATTAAAAATGTGTATAGCTTTAAAGAATGTGCTTTGAGGAGGTAGTGAAAGGCCTGACCTTTGGCTGGTCAGCTATCATTGTAAATAGGAGAACCATGCTGTACCCCTGTTACCTTCCCCAATCTTTTTCTGATTATTTCAAATCCCTGTCATAGCTCTGGTGGCACTCCACAGTGCTCCAATATAGAACTTATCATGGTTGATATTTTACACCTGTTTGTGTAATGGCATGCATCTTCTTGCGGCCAATGGACAGTCCACACTCAGTATATATTTAAATACAAATTAGATTACGTGTTCATTTTTCAGACAAGTTGAATTTGAGGGCCCTAAAGGATTTATGAAGGGATGTGAGCTGTTGAATGTTTAAGTCTGGAGTTCAGGAAAAAGAACACAATTAAAGATGCGATTTGGGAATCATTCGTACTTAGATGATAGAAATCAAAAAAATAAAAATGGATTTTACTCATGTTGTAGGAGGAATGACATGATTTTTGTGGTCACAGCAAATTGTGGGAATATGAATAATTTAATAACCTTTCTTAGACCTAGTTGTATTACCTGGAAAGGAGGGATAAGAACACCTTCCTGTAATTTTTTTTTTCTTTATTGATTTTAGAGAGAGAAGAAGGGAGAGGGAGGAAGAGATAGAAATGTCTATGTGAGAGAACATCGATTGGCCGCCTCCTGCATGCCCCCACTGCAGATTTGGCCCACAATCTGGACATGTGCCCTGACATGGAATCGAACCGGTGACCTCTTGGTGCATAGGTCAGCCACTGAGCCACACCAGCTGAGCACCTTTCTATAATTCTTAACAGGCGTGCCACAGGGTGCAAGGAGAGAGTATATATGGAGGAACTTTGTGAAATACTTAGGGCTGAACAAACATTAAATAACTTCATTGTTGAGTGTTAAGCATGCCCTTAAGTTGCCAGAAAGGAACATATACATTGAGTTGCACGGTTTTATTATTGTTGTTTTTTTTAATCTTCACCTGAGGATGTTTTAGTCTTCAGATAGAGTGAGAGGGTGAGAGAGAGAAACAGAGAACCATCCAAATGAAAGAGACACATGGATCAGTCGGGATCATGACCCCGACCAGGGCTGGGGACTGAACTGCAACCGAAGTACATGCCCTTGACGGGAATTGAACCGCAACTCTTTGGTCCGTGGGCCGATGGTCTAACCACTGAGCGAAACCATCCAGGGCAGAGTTTAACGGTTTAAAAAATGTATTTGTGCCTAGTCAGAGTCTACTGTGTAACCTTGGACCAGGTACTTACCTCTAACCCTCAGCTTCTGTATATGTAAAATGAGAAGAGTAATAAGTAGCAGCTTAAGGTCATTTGTTGTTTGCTTGGAGTCTTAAGTGTTTTTCTCTGATAGGGTATAAGAATGCTATATAATGGATTCTTTAATTCCTTCAAATACTTTGCTTTCACCCTGGTAGGTGAAGGATATTTTATTGATTGTATAATTTCTTTAGGTAGTTTTTAGGTGCTACTCCAGGGCTTCTCAACCTTGGCACTATTGATATTTTGGACCAGATAATTGTTGTGGGAAGGCTGTTGTTGTTATTATAAAATATTTGGCGGCATCCCTGGCTTAGAACCTAGTAACACTCACCCCATTAAGGATAGCCAAAAATGTCTTCAGACATTGCCAAATATCTCCTGGAGCACACCCCCGCTGGTATTTGAGAACTGTGCTACTCTGCTGTCCTATAGCTTAGTGCTTCTCTAACTGTCCGTGGTAAAGGGCTCCCTGCCCTCCCTAACCTTTGTGGATACTATTGAACAACCCCAGCCTTTGTGGATACTTTTGAAGAATACAATAAAAATGAATTACCAGAAAAATTATATGGAAGACAAAACAATGAAAGCACACAAAATACAGTCTAATTTTTTTTTTTAATCCTCACCCGAGGACATTTTTTGTATTTTGTTCAGATAGAGTGGGGGGTGGGGGGGAGAGGGAGAGAGAAGCATAGACATGAAAGGGACACATCGAGTGGTTGCCACCCACATGACCCAACCAGGGCCGGGGACAAACTGCAACCAAGGTACATGCCCTTAGTGGGAACTGAACCCAGGTCTCTCTGGACTGCAGGCTGGCACTCTAACCACTGAGAAAACCGGCCAGGGCCACACAACAGGTAGGTTAATATGTCAAAATGCTTAAAAGTTTCTTTTTTTTAATTCCTCACCCAAGGATATTTTTCTGTTTATCATTAGATAGAGTGGGAGGGATGGAGAGAGAGAGAGAGACAGACACAGAGAGGAACATCGACGTGATAGAGCCACAGCAACTGTTTGCCTCCCGCACTACCCAACCAGGGCCAGAGAATAACCGGAACCAAGGTACGTGCCCTTGACCAGAATCAAACCTGAGGTTCATTGGTCCTCGGGCTGACATTCTGACCACTGAGCCAAACCGGCCAGGTCTGCTTAAAGGTTTCTTAATGCTTATTCCCAATTTTTGTATTACTATAGACCAGTGACACAACTTGTATACTACACTGGTCCACAAACAAACTGGTCCACAAATCAGGGCCTAGTGTCACTATGAGGATGATTACTGTTATTGTTATTATTAGGTAATTTGTGGGGGTGGAGGGGTCATGTTAGCTTTAGCGTGTTAGGTTTTCACTTTATCTTTAAGGTTCATAAATTTTACCAGGCTATATTGATGTGTGACTTTGGTCATCATTCCAATATAGAATTTGCTAAGTGCTTTCATTTTAATACAGTTCATCTTCCTTAATCTAAAGGAAGTTTCATCTGATTATGTGTGGCCTCCTTATCTCTTTTCTTTTGGAATTCCTGTTTACATATATTTGTTGTAATTTGGAATTTTATTGCATTTAGTCTTTCAAGACACTAAATCAGACCTCAACTGAGATCATCCTTTACTGACATTTTTAGTTAGAAAATCATGTCCTTTAGCTTCAAGAAGTTTAAGGACTTATATATAAGTCTTTAGTTTTAAAAATCAGACTTCCTGCCCTGGCCGGTTTGGGTCAGCGGTTAGAGCGTCCGCCTGCGGTCCGGAGAGACCCGGGTTCGGTTCCCGCTAAGGGCATGTACCTCGGTTGCGGTTTGTCCCCGGCCCTGGTTGGTCGTGCGGGTGGCAGCCACTCGATGTGTCCCTTTCACATCGATGTTTCCCTCTCTCTCTCTTCCTCTCTCTCCCTCCCACACTGTCTGTACAAAAAATGGAAAAATGTCCTCGGATGAGGATTAAAAAAAATAAAATAAAATAAAAATAAAAATCAGACTTCCATTTCCTTTACAGATTCTAACTCACTGATGAGGTTGTACTGCTTGATTTTCCCTCTTTTGTTGGTGGGTTTTCTTGGGCTGGTTGCTATTTTCTTTGATGGTTCTTTCAGACTTAGATTTGCAGAGCAGTTTCTCCCTCTGTGGATCTGTGAAGTAGAAACTTTCAGGCTATCCACCTTGACTGGGGCAACTGTCTCCAGTGTCCCTGCCCAGCTCCTTTTGAGAAATCTAGCACACTGGTTTGGGGCCAGGGTTATTCTTTTCCTGCTGGAGGTGGGTAGGTAGTGTTCTAACCTCCTAGTTTGACTTTTTCCCCCATCCAAGACTAAGTTCGTGGAGAAGAAACACCTCATTCCATATGCTGTGCTTGCTCTCTGCCTGTAACCATAGTGGAGCTGCACATAGGCCTGAGCTCCTAACTGGCCCTAGATCCCAGGGCTCTTTGGTTAAAAAGTAAAAACATGTCCTGGCCTGTTCGGCTCAGCAGTTGGAGCATCAGCCCTCTGACTGAAGGGTCTCTGGTTCTATCCCTGGCCTGGTCCCTGGCCCTGTCGCAGGTGCGCAGGGGGCAACCAATCTCTTTCTCTCTGTCTCCCTCCTTCCCCCCTCCCCTCCCTTCCACTCTATCTTTAAAAATGGACTAATGACAACAACAAAAGACAAGTAACAAAGGACAGTGGAGAGGGGAATGAAGCTGGGATCAGGTGACTGAACTTAGTAACATTCACCGAATTTTGGTATGCTTTAAGTTCTGTAGCAAGGAAGAGAATTAGAGTTCCACTATGTGATATAGTTGGAGGTATTTCACAATTATATACATATTAAAATATAGTAACACTGTGGTGCCTGTTTTCAGTAGCAGAATCACCATGATTCTTCAGAGGATCTTCAGGCTCTCCTCTGTCGTCCGGTCTGCAGTCTCAGTCCATTTGAGGAGGAATATTGGTGTGACAGCAGTGGCATTTAATAAGGAGCTTGATCCTGTACAGAAACTCTTCGTGGACAAGATCAAAGAATACAGAACTAAGCGACAGTAAGTGGGTAGATAATCAACCATGGTATAAATATAAATATTTAAAATGTGTAAGTTTTGAGATGATGATAAAATTACATGATGTTTGTAAGTGTCTCAGACCTTCACTGAGCTAATCCCTGGCACAGAGGTTCATTATATCTTGATTATTTTAAGCCTTGCATTTTATCTTTTTTTATATGTGTTTCCAGGAATAATCGCATTAAATGTATTGTTATTTTATGTGTATCCTTATTACAATGTCATTTATTATAAACTAGAGTCAATTTATAAAGGTGCACAGTATCTTTAAAATCATTAAGAAACTATAGTTCCCCCTTATGTGTGGTTTCACTTTCTGGGGTTTTGTTGCCTGTGGTCAACCATGGTCCAAAAATATTAAGTGAAAATTCCAGAAATAATTCATAAGCCATGCCATTCTGAGTAGCATGATGAAATCTCTCACTATCCTGCTCTGTCTGGTCTGGGATGTAAATCATCCCTTTGTTTAGTGTGCCCATGCTGTATTTGATACCTGCTGGTTGGTCACTTAGTAGCCATCTCTGTTATTGGACCAGTTACCAGAGAGACCACATAACTTTTATTATAGTATATTATTATAATTGTTCTACTTTATTATTGTTTTTAATCCTTACTGTGCCTAAGTTACAAATAAAATTTTGTCATAGGTAAGCATGTATAGGAAAAAATAGTATGTATAGAGATTGGTTCTATTCTTGGTTTCAGGCATCCATAAGGGGGAACTATTACATTTGAACAAAACAAAGTCCCTTAGACATTGATTAGCCTAAGTAATTAAATTGATTGGAGGAAAAGCATAATCAGAATATTCTAACTCTCAATTAAGTGCCCTTTTCATAACATCATGATTTAGGGGAAATGTAGAAACACACCATTTTTTTCTTTAATGTTTTTTTCATTCTTATATATTTCTGGAAATATGAAAGAAGAGAAGACTCTGAAATGGCACAAAGCAAGTCCAGGAAAAACATGGTTACAGTACCACACAGTTTTGGAGATGAATGATACTTTAGCCATCATTAAGTTCAACCCCCAGATTTTTGGAAAAGTAGTATACATCAGTTCATATTTCCATTTGTTCAAAAGGTACTTAGCTGTCTACCATGTGCAAAGCACTGGGCTGTTAACTGTGGTGGGCCACAAAGAAAGAAGCCACACTGCATTTTCACAGTTCTTAACATCTGCTAAAGATAGAAAGATTGTAAGTAGGTAAATACACCAGAAGGCAAAATGGGTCAGATGCTGAGGTAGTGCCACGTCCAGTGTTTGGGGAGTTCATAGGAAAGTTATGCTCCTGTCTAGCTGGAGGTATTTTAGTAGGTGTCTTGGAAAAGTGAAGGTTTTGTCTTGGATTTGAAAGCAGTGTTGGAGGTCATTCATTTCTCTTGAGAATTTTATGGTCAGCTATATATTATCGTCCCACTCAAAAAAAAAAAAGGGAAGAATTTACTCACATGATTTCATTTATAGAGTTATCAAACCCACAGAAGGCCATTAATAGACAATCAAACCCAGGGGTCTTCCTCAGGTTATGAACAATTGAAGTTTGGACAGGTAAATAGGGATGGGAAGAGGATATCTTTTAGGATAAAACAATGGTGTGAGCTAAGGCATGAAAACTAGGGGAACATATTTGGGGAATTGTGTGATGCTATTTCCCAAGACTGGGGTAAATGAAGTGTGCAGGAAACAGTAAGAGAAGAAGGGGTTGGAGTGAAGGATTATGGAAAGCCTTGGTTATAGTTGGACAATTAAGATATTATATGAAAAGCATACATGAGAAATTAAAGGCAATTGAGCAAGGTAGTGAAGTGGGAGAAGATTGCTCTGTATTAGGAAGATAATTTTAATCACAGTGTATTGGGAAAATAGGGATGAGAAAGGAGGGAAGGTGGACATGTTAGAAAAATGTAATAATCCAAACATTGGCTGATGAGAATCTTATCTTTATAACAGTGGAAATATAAAAGTGACAAGAGTCAAAACCCTGAGACTTGAGACTGGGCGACTAGCAAGGTTTTGTTACCAGAACTTGAGGGAGAGGGTGAAGGGGTTAAAATGAAGATAATGTTATACAACTCACATGAAAACCTTATTCATGTTATCCTTATTTTATGTGTGAGACAACTAAGGCTTAAAGGTTAGAATTTGCCTGAAGTCACACTGTTCAGTAAGCAGGTGTGCAGGACTGATTGGGAAATTAGGGTGTCTTCTGTCTGGAGGTATTGTGGCCTCTTAGTATTGATGCTGTCTGCACTTGAACTGTCCATGAAAGCCTGTCCAACAAGAAGTCAGTCCTTAGGTATACTCTGAAACTGCGGAGTCTGGTTCATTCGTCTGTGCGCACAACAACATGGAGAAGTGTTCTGAGTCTGTGCTGGGCTGGAATCCAGCTCTGCCACCTACTAGCTCGGTGGCCTTGGGCAGATATTTAACCTCTGTACCTCAGATTTCTCATGTGTAAGATGGGGATGATAATAACAGTATCATAGGGTGTTATAAAGATTAAGTGGTTCAGTAAATTAGCATGCCTAGTATTTTTTTAAGTGAAATAAATAAATTTCCCTTGAGTGTCTGCTTTGTCCCAGTCACTAGAGCAAGATGTGCTGGGAGACTTATAGTTGAGGAGGTAGATAATTTGTGGCTTCTTTATATCATAAGGGTACATGTTAAAGTTGTAACAGCCATCACCTATCAGTAACCAGTATACTGATGAGACTGGCTGGCTCTTTTTCAAGCAGTTTCTAAAGTTTGGATTCCACAACTGGAAGGCAGTCACCAAAGTATCTGGTTGAAGGCTCTATTAAGAACTGTATTGTGCCCGGTTGGTGTGGCTCAGTGGTTGAGCGTCGACCCATGCACTAAGAGGTCACCGGTTCGATACCCGGTCAGAGCACATGCCCAGGTTGTGGGCCAAATCCCAAGTAAGGAGCATGTAGGAGGCGGTCAGTTGATGTTCTCTCTCATCGATGTTTCTATCTCTGTCTCCATCTCCCTTCCTCTCTCTCTAAAATCAATAAAGAAAAAAAAAACTGCATTGTATATGTATTTCTGTTATTCAGATGTAACTATTCAAGTTCTAATTCATTACAATTAAGTTTAAATAAAAATTCAGTTTCTCAGTCACCTTAGCCACATTTCTAGTGTTCCGTAGGCAGATATGGCTAGTGGCTACCGTATTAGCTCAGATAAAGAGCATTTCTGTCATCACAGAAAGTTTCATTGTACCTGCTGATCTGGAAGATAATTGGGTCCATAACAAGAAATATCATTAATGAGTCCTTAAATTAGAGCTGTCTATATCTTTTGTAAAAATTCTGTAACATAAATAAGGCCCTATGCCTTTATCATAGGCACGTGTGAAAATATTATTACCCTTTATGGAATTTTCACCTGTAAATTTTTGTTTCTTTATTGTTTATTGATAGGCAGGTGGTAACATTATGACAAACACAGAAGAATTTGTTCAAAGAATTAAGTAAATCTAATTGACCTCATTGTTGGTGCATGGTGCTATATTTATCTTCCCAAAGCACAGCTTTTAATTTTGTCATTTTTTGCTTAGCAAATAAAATATAAACTCTCAGACTTAACGTTCAGTCTTCCCATGATCTGGGTCCTGCTGGCCTTTTCATCTAAACTGCTTATTATTCCCACATGAAGCCTATGCTTTACCTCCTCCGTGTCTTTGCTTTTCAGTCTTAGAATGTCTCAAATTAAAATCAGAACCTCAACCAAAAAAAAATCTGACCCAAATGCAATGTATGCTTTGTCAGAAATGCCTTTTTTAAAAAAAAAAAAAAATTCTTACCCAAGGATATGCTTTTGCTGATTTCAGAGAGAGGGAGGGAGAGAGAAATATCCATTGATTGCCTCCTGACTGAGGATGGAACCCACAACCTTTTGGTGTACAGGATGATACTCTAACCAGGGCACAAATGCCACTTTTTTAAAATGAAGTTTCTTCTGATTAGCTCAGCAAAAGTGCCCTCTCCTCAACTTGAGTAGTTTTTTGTTAAACCATGTCTTTGAAGCTTATCACATAACTCCCTTACAGCATAAATGTTTGTAAACATGTTATATTTTTCTTCTAAATGGCAAAACCTCTGAGGGTAGGGAATAATTTTGGTTTTGTAATTAGCACATAAAATGAGTTTTTACTTGATCGTTTACACACAGGTCATCTGGAGGACCTGTTGATACTGGCCCAGAGTATCAGCAGGAGTTGGAGAGGGAGCTTTTCAAGCTTAAGCAAATGTATGGTAAAGCAGACATGAATGCGTTCCCTGACTTCAAATTTGAAGGTAAATCTCTTTAATCATGGACTTATTTTTGTGGGAGCTCATTTTAAGAGGAAAATAGGTATACTTAGTTACACTTACTTGGATTGTTTAGAGGATAGATCTCAATTACATGTAGATTTATTAGGACAGCGATGTATGCATGGGAAACTGGGCTGAGCATTTGCCATTGGTATAGGAGATTGCGTAACATAGAGGGTAAATGATGGGGATCTGAATTATAATATCTTCCTCATGTGGTTGTTTTAGTTAAGTGATATATGTAGTCAGTTAATAGCCTGGCTCATAGTTAGTGTTGAATTAAGTTTTTAACCATTGTTCTATTTCCATGTATATGTTTAAAAACGGTAGATATTGACTAAAAAAACAAATCAAAAGATGAATGAGTTAAGTATTAAAGCCTTCTCAGTAAGGCATTTTATTGAAGTATGGCTAAGCTTGAATCTTTTTTTCTTCTTCTTAGATCCCAAATTTGAAATCCTGGAAAAACCCCAGGCCTGAAGAAATGTAAAATTTGGTAATTTGCCCTCAGAAGAGTCAGAATAAACATACATTTCAACAGCTGTCAAATGTTCTTTCATTCTGATTCCAAATAAGTTATATGGCGATGTCGGGTGTGTGCTTGAGCGTACAGAATTCTGTGCTTTAGCACTGTTTTTAAATCTTCCCATTTGGTTATAACGAAGCAGGCAGAGAACTTGGGTACCCTTTGCCTGGAACCTGCCACTCTTCTCAGTGTGCAGGCTATCCTTTTCATCGAGGAGGTACAGCCCGAGGGAGCCTCCCGACCTAAGGAGTGCTTGCTGCAAAGGGATGCTCCATTAGAGTGTGAAGGAACTGTTTATAAATCCTTGATTATGGCTCTTTCAGTAAACTCGGGTGTCATTTTGATTATGTACAGGAATAGCCGTCTTTTCAAGTATTAAATGCTTTTATCCAAGTAACCCAGGTCCCTCCTCTTTCGTTACAGTTTATGGTCATAGTCCAGTACAGTGCTGAACAAATAGAGGAGGAAAACGGGGCCAGGGAGAGGTTTCTCCAAAGGAACTTCCCTTTAAAGATCAAGCTGTGTGGTGGTGTTTTGCCCAGGTGATGGAGGGAGGGTCCAGCAGATCAGCGCTGGGTAAGTGCATAGCATAGCAGGCACATCGACTTCCCAGGAACTGCAGAAAGCTCTCACCCTGTAGAGAAAAGAAGAAAAAACAGCTCTGCCTTTTTATATCCGACAGTCTCAGACTTGTCAGTAAATACAGGTCTTAATAAGCCTTTAAAGGTGTTCCAAAATGTGAAGTAAAAAAAACAGCCTTCTTTATGAGTTTAGCTCACTTCAGAAGAATAAATTTTTACTATACCATGCCATACTGAGGAATACGTTTTTCAAAAGATTCACAAAATATTCCCTAGTGGTATAGGTAGGAAGAGAGGGTCCAATTTTCAAGTGAAGCTAAGCAATGACAGTTCATTTGAGCTATTTTTGTTTGAATAATTGTAGGTATTGAAACAGAATTTGATGTTTAATTATGGCACTATTTAAAGGTGATCCAGGAAATGAAGGGCTTGGATTCTTTCTCTAGCCTTCCCTGAAACAGCTCCTCCACCTGCCTGGGGCCATTCTAAGGAGAGAAGGGCTGACCCTTTCATTCAGCACATACTTCATCCCCTTTTCCCCTCCCTCCCCCACTCAGGTTAGTTGAATTTTACCTTTTATAATTTCACACCTGTTTCTTTTTTTAAGTATGTTTTTATTGATTTCAGAGGAAGGGAGAGAGAAAAACATTGATGAGATGAGAAACAGATCTGCAGCCTCCTGCATGCACCCTACTGGGGATCAAGCCCAAAACCTGGGCATATGCCCTGACCAGGAATCAGCCAGCGATCTCTTGGTGCACTGAAGACAATCCACTGAGCCATACTGACCGGGCTCACGCATGTTTTTTCATACACATCTTTGTTGTTAATCTACACATATTTTTGCATTGATTTTTAGATAGAGTGGAGGGGAGGGAGAGAGAAACATCAATAGGTTGCCTCCCACATGACCCTGACCAGGGCCAGGGATCAAACCTTCAACCCAGGCACATGCCCTTGACTGGGAATCGAACCCAAGACCCTTCATTTCATGGGCTGACAACCTTGAGCCAAAACAGCCAGGGTGTCATTGATTTTTTTTTTTTTTTTAGAGAGTGGAAGGAAGGGGCAGAGAAAGAGAAACATTGATGTGAGAGACACATCAGTCGGTTGCCTCTTACACCCACCTGGATCAGGGCCAGGGATCAACCTGCAACCCAGATATGTGCCCTTGACTGGAAATTGAACCCAAAACCCTTCGGTGCTCAGGGTCATGCTCTAACCACGAAGCCACATGGCCCAGGGCTCATACACATTTTTTTATCTGTCTTGCAACTATTTGCAGTTTGCTTGAATATCTCAATCTCTTCATTCAGTATGTAAACAGAAGGATTCTATTTGTGAGTGACTGCAAGAATAGTGCCATGAGCACCCCATTCCGGTGCCCTACATCATAGGACTATGCATTTATAGCTAAATTTTGCCCAGGGAGGTGCTCTTTATTCCAGCTGAATACTCTAGTACTGCTTTGAGTCAGGGCTGTTATCCAAGGTCTCATCTTCCTCAGAGCCCCTTCCTCTTTCTGGTGAGGCTGCCCCAACTCTGCAAACTTGCCGTTACCCGTCGCTTCAATGCTAGTGCACTTCTCACCCTGCACTTACCATTTGGGCCCACCTTGTGTATTTATTGCAAATTATGTGAACCTGTTTAAAATGGCTTTTTTCACCCCACTGGTGTGACTCAGTGATTGAGCATCGACTTGTGCACCAAGAGGTCACTGGTTCGATTCTCAGTCAGGGTTGCAGGCTGGATCCCCAGTAGGGGGCATGCAGGAGGCAGCCAATTGATGTTCCATGTTTCTATACCTCCCTTCCTCTCTAAGGAATCAATGAAAACCTTTTTTTTAAATTTTAAGCAAATAAAATGGCTTTTTTTCTCCCTTGCCTGGTGTTACAGGCTAAATTTCCTTGAAGTTGAAATCCCTGGAACCTCACAATGTGATGAGATTTGGAAATAGGATTAAATTAGAACGAAACCATTAGAGTGGGCCGGAATCCGTTCTGACTGGTGTTCTTATAAGAAAAGGAAATTTGCCTGGTCAGTGTGGCTCAGTGGTTGAGCACTGACCCATGCACCAAGAGGTTGCTGGTTTGACTCCTGGTCAGGGCACATGCCCAGGTTGTAAAATATAAAATAAATAAGTGTACTCATCATGGTTGGGTTCAGTATTTTTAAAAAAGATGAGAAAGTTGGGTGCCTGTGGTGAGGGGAGGGAGAGGGCGATGATGCGGTGGCCCACCATGGCATTTAGAATGGGTATTGGAAAAAGAAAGACAAAAATGTTTTGGGCTGTGGGACTAAGGAGGGGTGGACAGACCCGAGATCCCTGAGGATGATGGGGCGGTCAAATACAAGAGAATTTGAAAATTTAATAGAAGGAATATTGAGAGCAGAGAGAAAACATCTTTGTGTGAAACATCCTGGATCAGATGGACCTGAGTCACATAGCACCTGATTCTACCTTTAGCTCTATGAACTTGGCAGTCACTGACCTTGGGTCTCAGTTTCCTCAAGTGTAAAATAGGACATTGGCTACTTTATAATATCATTGAGATAAATGAGATTTTATATGCCCTCTCCATCCTCCCCACTTTTGATATATATAAAATGTTCAATAAATAGGGCTTTTTATTTTCAAAGCTTTATAGTGTTTAAGAGGTTGGCAAGCATCCAGACTGAGAGATGATGAGATTCTAATCTTGGGCAGCTAGAAAGCAAGCCTTATAACTACAGATGGTAAGAGGGTGTAGTTTCCTGGGTTCCACTGAAAAATAGGTGGGTAACTCTTCCCCTGAACTATTAAATGGGGCTAGAAAGTTTGACAAGTTCAGTTATTTTTATTTATGTAGACTTTCATAAAACAAAACCACTGTGAGATGAAAGAAGTTTTTTGCAAAGCTGTACGGAAAAATAACCAATTGTTCCAGATTTAGTTAGGTTAAACCCCCAGCTAAAAATAAATTGAACCTAGTTACAACAGCTACAATAATAATTAAAACAAAACAAAACTTGCTATTAAAGATTCTAGAGCCCTAATCCTTATATAACACAATTTCACTGCAGGAAAATAAAATCCAAATGCTCTAAGAATTACAATGGGACTTTACCAATTGTTAGTGTTCAAGTCCCTCAAATAAAAGCCATTGGAAACACAAGCCCAGACACAGGTGGACATCCTTTAACAATTGAAGAGGAGTGCTCAGTACTGTAGCCTTCGTGTGGGAAAAAGCATTCTTCACATGATTTTTATTTAGCTGTATACAATATTTTAAAATAATAATATATATGTATTTGACATAAAGTGTTAGCGTTAACATGCCTAAGGTGAATCCTCTTGCCTATATGGCTTAGAAGCTTCTCATCTCTTAGTAAAGTTAAGGCACTACATATTTTTCCCACACAGTGGATTGGTGTCATTTAAATTGAAGAAGTTGATCTTGTGTGTAGGTGGGTACGCCTGGAGAGGCATCTTTGAGACACACGTTCCCTGGGCACTTGGCAATGCAAGAGGAAAGCATTCTTCAAAGCAAAGCCAATGAAAGTGTTACAGAATAGTAAGAAGCGAGGGAAATTCCAGGACGAGCAGAACAGGGGAACCAAGACAGATAGTTAAACAGCAGCTGCAGCCACCTAGTAAATCCTGTCTTCCCTAAACCAGCGACACCCGGGGAACGGAACGGGGAGGTGGGGCAATGGGGGAAGAACAGGGGGACATTGGTACTACTTTCAACAATAAAGATAAACTTTAAAAATGTTCAGGCATAGGTAAAAGTGCTGATATGTAAGCTCCAAAAGTATTAATTCTGCCATGAGATTCCTGGGAAAGTGCACACTACACTAGGACCCACAGTAAGGGATTGTCCTGAGCAGGCACTATAGCCCGCTGTCCAGCACAATATCTGGCATGTAGTGAAAAAAATAAAAATCCATGTATTGACTGGTTAAATGCGTAAATGAATGTTCATGGTACAAACTAATGCTGCTCAAAATGAGGTCCACAGATTGGCAGCACCAGCAGCACCTGGGAGGATGTTAGAAATACGCACATTTGGAGGCCCCAGCCCGGACCCCCTAACTCACAACCTTTGGGGTGGGACCAAGGAAATTATTTCAATAAGCTCTGTAGGTGATTCTGAGGTAGGCAGAGCTTTGTGAAGCACCAGGCTGGGGCGGGGGTGTGGTGTGGTGTGGGGGAGTAAATGGTTTGCGCTCTCGCTCCCCAGCCAGAGCGTAAATAGCTTAAGTCACCCTACTCAGGGAGACAGATAACAGAAATCCAATGAGTGCCATTTGCCAACTACACCCAACGACAGACAAATTTAGAGAATAAATCTCATTTTGGTACATCAGCATAAAGCTGATGAATATTGATCTTCCCCTAGCACCTCCCCTTAACACCCAGCCTTTAAAACCCCAAAAACTAAGGTCCTAGTGCATTCTCTCTCCTGGAAGCACGCCAGTGCCATTCCCTTCCCCCACAGGCACATAGCTCCTACACTCTCAGGGACCCCAGGAGACTTGCAACCAGGGGAGCAGTGGGCAGTGACAGCTCATCCCAGGCTAACCCCCTGAACCCCCTTTCCTCTGACTTCCCAGCGAGCCATAGCAACCCAGCCTGGGCTTTTCTGTTTGCTCTTCTATGCCCTTCCTCATTTCACTGTCCCAAGCGTGTTGTTCCTGCAGTCAATACATTCTTGCTTGCTTTCCTACACTTTGCCTCTTGATTGAAATCTTTCCTTTAAGAAGAGAAGAACCCAGGTCTCCTCATCTTGGCGGTAACAAAAGCATGGGCAACAGTTGGCCTCATTTCTTATAAAAGCTTATAGATAGGTGTATTTTTCATGCTTCACTACCAAGAGTTGGAAAAGTGTGTGTGTGTGTGTGTGTGTGTGTGTGCCAAATCTTATCTGTGCCTACTGTTTTTGCCAATAAAGTTTTATTGGAACACAAACAGGGCCATTTGTTTATTATTGTCTATGGCTGCTTTC